ACAACAGAAATGTATTGTCTCATAGTTCTGGAGGCTGGACATCCAAAGTCAAGGTGTCCGCGGGGTTGGTTCCTTCAGGAGGCCCTGAGGGTCTGTTTGTGGCCCCTCCATTCTGCTTGTAGATGGCCGTCTTGTCCCATGTGTCCACATTGTCTTCCCTCCCCGGGCGTCTCTGTATTCAAATTTCACCTCCTCAGTGGGGAGTCTGCTTGTCCCTCTCCCTCTGCCCCATTGCTTGTGCTCTCTCTCTCTCTCTCTCAAATCAGTCAATCAATCCATCAATAAATAAATAAGTAAAATAAAAAAATGGGGCCCCTGGGTAGCTCGGTTGGTTAAACATCCGGCTCTTAATTTCTGCTTAGGTCATGATCTCAGGGTCGTGAAATTGAGCACCGTGTTGGGCTGTGCCGTGAACGTGGAGTCTGCTTGAGATTCTCTCCCTCTCCCTCTGCCCCTCTTCTACTCCCATTATCTTTCTCTCTGTCTTTCAAAAAAAGGAAAAGAAAAAAGAAAAACTTTTTTGAATTTTTGGGAAGACGCGTAATGGATGAAGTGATACTAGATGTCTTCTTATGTTTATGAATAAGAGCGTAAGTGTAGAATGAGCCAGGCAGTGTGATCTTGGGCAAGTCTCTCGACTTCTTTGACCCTCACCTTTTGAATTTTGCTAAGAGGTAGATTTTAATAGTACCTGCTTCATAGGGTTCTTATGAGAAATCAATAAGGTAATGCATATAGAAGTCTTAGCAGGTGCATGGCAAATTGTTTTCAGTAACTGTTAGCTGCCTTTGCATTGTTGTTCCGGCTGGACACAGATGCAGGGTGCGGGAGGGGATGTGTGTTTTGTGGGCTGTGGTGAATCAGGGCATCAGCCTGAAGCAACAAGGCCAGCAGCCTGATTCTATATTTGTCAGTGCTTCATGGTTAAAAGCAAGTGGTGGTGGCTTTTCAGAAATCCTCCCCCCACCCCGCCCCTCAAAAAACCTTTGACCTGTGTTGCTAAGGATGTGCTTGGCCTCTCAGATAGTTGCCATAGAAACTGTCTGAATTTAGTCCTTGTGCCTGAGGGAAACCCCAACAAATAGCACAGATTCCAAGCACATGGTTGTTTCAACCTTTTCACATAGTTCAGATAGAATGTCACTGAATTATCTAGAAATGTGCTCCAATCCTTTTCCAAGTAGTGTTCATGAGGCAATCTATCAAGTGTGTATGGCTTGGTGGTTTTAGGCAGTTTCAGTTATAAACTATACTTTCCCTCCAGCAATAGTATGATCCAGGATGTGATACTCATTAGTGGAATTATGTCCATGCAAAGAGGAAATGGAAGCAAGACTTGTTTGAGAGGCTAAAGGCCCCTTCTGGCATAATGCCTGCAGTAGCGTGGTTTGCTTGGACGCACTGATACAAAGGCTTTGCCTCACCGCTTCACTTGGTCGTGAGGATGTTGCTGGGAAGGCTGCTTCTTGAGTAGTCTCGTTATCGGGGCCACCGAAAGCCAGGGACTATGAAAGGAGACGGCCCGTAGGACAATGTTCAAAGTTCAGACGAAGCACATGGGGGTGACAGGATAAATTCTTATTTAACAAACACTCTTCAAAATATGAACTCATTGAACCCCATAAATCTCACAGGTAGGTACTCTGGTCATCCCTGCTTTGCGGATGAGTAGACCCAAGTCAGTGGAGGAGCCAGCTGGTCGAACTCCGGGGTCTGTGCTCCCAACAGCTGCACCATGGGGTAGATCTGTCTGCAAATGAATCATGGAACCCTAGGCATGGTGGTGGAAAAAGCAATTACTTCTATTTCCCACTGGAAACCTCTCTGTGAGGGATAAGACTAAGTGTAAATGACAAAATAAAGGATAAGTGCATTGCTACTTTTACTTTTCAGATTCCTTAAAACATCCCAGATGGTGGCCTGTCTGAGCATCTGACTAAAATCAGGCATTTATCTTATTTTTATTAGTTTTTCTGTCATTCAATGTATATGTCTTTGGGAGATTAAAAGCACTAAAAAATCAGTTTAAGAAGAGATGATATGTATCAGCCAGTTCTTAACCTATTTACTGAGAAGAAATCTGTTAGTGTATTTAAAAGAGAAGAGACTGTTTTCATCGACGATAAAAATTTATTACTTTGCATCAAAATAAATCTTCAAATCTCAAATTAGTTTCCTTGAACATATTATGTTTATTCTGAAAGCTCTTATAGATTGGACAAATTCATAGGATATCACTGTTAGATAATTAAAATATTTTAGAATTTAACAAACATCTGTTGAGGGATTAATATATGCAAGGCGTTGCCTGACAAACTGTGAGAGGTTCAAAAAACTTTTCAAAATAAGGCCTCTGCCTTGAACTGCCTTGAAGGATTTTGTTTTCTAGTACAGGCAATAACACAGATATATAAATAAACGATTTAAAAAAATGCAGTCAGGAGGGGCTTTGGGAGGAAGACACTTCTGGCTGGAAATTAGGAAAGATTTCATGAAGGAAGTAGGATTTGGGCTCTAACTCCATGAAGGCAGACTCTCTACTCCTTATTTGGTTATCCCACTTCTTAACACAGGATCTGTCATATGAGAGAAGTATATTAGTGAGACAAATTCAGTGTAGAAAAAGGTAAAAAAAAGAAAAAGAAAGAAAGAAAAAGATGAAACGGCAAACCAGGATCACCCTTAGAGTAATTCAGTGCTTTTCAAATCAATGAACAATTTGGACCTAGAAGGTAAGGTATGACCAGTAGTACACGTAGAGGTGAGGAAGGACAACCTCACTCCAACTTCCTGATGCAAATATTGACTGACCATTTATTCCAGCTGGCCTCGTGCTGGGTGGGGTGGGCAGCAAGGGCCAAAGAGTGGAGGCGGGAAGGCTCAGGGTACAGAGTCCATCCGGGTAGACAGCGTTGCCGAGTGTGGGAAGGGAGTGGGAGATAAGGCTGGAAGAGTAAGTTGGGGACCAGTACTTGAAAACTCTTGAATGCTGAAGAGCTTGAGGAAAATGATCCCCAAATGCGCCATTATCATCTGTATTTCTCCTCTTACGAGCTGATCATGTGCATTTTGCTAGATAAAAAAAAAACAAACCAAAAACTGAGTTAGACTTAATAATTTATTTACCTATTTGATATTACAGTATGCTAGAGCCCGCCATTGTTATTTATTTCCATGGGTCTCCACACCACATAAGCCGTTGAAAGCCATAGATAAATGTCTTGTTTGTGTTTAGGATAATGAGCCAATTCTAAAGTGATGTTTGAACACAACGGCCAAATTAATTCTGTTGCAAAAGCTAACTTTTAAACATTCACCGAGTTTATGACTCTGACTGTCCTGAAGGGTTTTAATCTTAGCTCTCCCTACAAATAGCTATAGAACCTTGGGAAAGGTTGCTTCATGGATTTAGCATATGTAGGAACAATATATACATTTTACATATCTCTGTTTCTCTGTGCCTACATCTGTATCTCAGCAGCTCCCGCACTACCTACGGTACTGTAGAAAGAGTTAAAAGAGGTTTGGGTCTTTGGGATCTGACAGATCTGGCTGGAAGCATGGCGATGTCCCTTCCTACCTATGTACTAGGCGAATTGCTTAACTTTGAATCTCTGTGTCCTCCTACATAAAATTAGTATTACATTCCCTAACTCATCATGTCTGTGAGAAACTCATGTTTATTATTGAGCAATTGCGGTGTCTTTTCTGTTTGAGGAAACTGAGGCACAGGGAAATTAAGTGGTAATACCCGGGGCGGCACAGCCAGTGAAAGGTAGAGCTGGGTTTCTGGTGCAGGCTTTCTGGCTCAGAGTCCGTTGCCTACACCACTGTTATGCTGTTGGTAAAGGCCCCTCCCCAAATCTACCTCATAGCCGATACTTAATAAATGCTTATTTCTATCTTTATCTCCCAGGGCATTTGTAGCATTTGTGAGGCTAAAATGGGATAGTGCTTTTACCTTTTTAAAGTTCAAATATAAGCTATCCAAATGTAAGGAATTAAAAAACTTCAGGGACTACATATTTAGAGTGGTTAGAATTTCGGTAACCATTTTTTCATGCTGAGTATATTAGCGAGACAAATTCAATGTAGAAAAAGTTAAAAAAAAAAGAAAGAAAGAAAAAGATGAAACGGCAAACCAGGATCACCCTTAATCCCTAGAGATAATGAAGCGACTGGAATTTTAGTGAAATGAGAGCATTTTTCATTTTGTCGATCTTTTGGTTTTGGCAGTCCAGTATGATGACAGGCAACAACCTTGCCTTACAGGCCATGTGGAAAACTTATATCAGATCTTAAAATCAGTTAGTCATGATGTGTCTCAGGGTGAAAGTTATAATTTCTAAAAAATGTGAAGCCACAAGAAAGAAAGGAAAAATAATACTGAACAGAAGAGAATAAGGACAGAGTTTGGATTCTTATTTGGTTGCTTTTGGAGAAATAAAAAGTATACCTTTCCTTAGGCATATTGCCTAGTTAAAAACCATGTTTAGAAGACCAAAGTTTGGCTGGTGAGGTCTTTGAGTGAAGGACTGGGAACATTCTTGAGTTCTTTCTGTTTGAGGAATCTCATGTATTTGCAGCTTTGAATCAGAACCATTAAAATGTTAATATCTAGTTATCCTGGCATTTGCCCAAACATATCTTTCCCATGCATATAATAAAAGTGAAAACTATACTTTTTTTCTATCATTTAATACCTATAAATGGAGAAGATTATAATAAAGTGGAGCAGTTAAAGAAATAGAATTACCATGAGCTTCTTTTGAGATGTTGACTTGTGTGTTCCTCTGGATGAGGTATCACGAAGCTTCTGGAAGACTGGGTTGTTCCCTAAAGAGAAGAAGCTGGCCTTTAGTGATCCCATTCTACTAGGCTTATAACTGGATATTGTCCAGTGATCCTTTCTGGCTGGAAAGACATGATTTTAACAGACTGGTAACTAATCACTTTTATTCTCTGGTTTATTCACAGGAGTTTCAATATAGAAAACGACAATGATGCAAGCCCAGCTGCATTGCTTGTGTCTCCTTATACTGTATTTGGTAAGAGGATGTTCTTTATTTATTTACTAGAATATTTTCTGACATTTTCTACCTCATACCAGGGTAACAAGGATTATTATGACTTTAAAAAAGTCTATCAAAATTAAATTATATACAAAGGACCCGTAGTTTGCCCAGTGAAATGGCTACAAGTCATATGTCTATCCTTCAACCAGGGAGCTACTTTTTCTCAGCTCTTAAAAGCCAGTACCACTTAATGGATAAGGTTTAAAACAAATCTGTCTATTCATATTTAGACCTTCATGTATAGCTCAGGAAATCTGGAAAGAAAGGTATACTGAAGCATATATTAGTCTTTGTATACAGTATATATGTATATATAGTCTATGTATATTTGTATATATTAGTTTATGTCCCTTAATCTTGACTTTTTTTTTTTTTTTACTTTGACCGTGAAAAATTACCACTGAAATATTAAGAAAAGCATTTTCTCTATTTTCAACCCTGCTCTGCTCTGTGCTTTTCTTCCCATATATGGTTTGGAGTTTTCTGGCCAGAGTTGTCTTTAGCCATTTGTTAAGCCAACCCTCTCAATTGACAGGCTTCTACAAGTTGGATGGAACCCGGAGAGATCCAGCCCTCGATCTTGGGTAGATAGTGGGGTGCCAATGCTGTTTTATTCACGAGGCTCATAAAAGATCATATACTGACCCAACAATCTGTTGTATTATGAAGCAAGATTATGGGGAAGCGTTTGCTTTCTCCTTAGAAGGAAGTTACTAGATCTTCACACCTCAGATCTTGGTTCCTTTCTTCGGGGACCCCAAAATAACATCAAATTCTGAGCTCCTGAGAGCCCTCTAGGACCCTCACAGTTCAGAGTATTTACAGAATGAAATAGAGCCAAACTTGTAAACCTAACCAGAGCCTTCTTCTTGGGGGAGGAGAGGAAGCTACAGTTCAAATTTTATGGGCAAGGTGCCTCTGCACAGACCCGGGGCTCAAAACTTGTCACTAGGACTATGTAAGGACTAGGTCAAACATCTCCTCTTGACTTCTCTCCTCTTCTCATTCTTCAAATGCCCTTTGCTATCTATATTATCACAGGGTGGTAGTGAAGTCAGACCTGGGTACAAAACTGGCACTGCTACTTCCTAGTGATAGGAGCTTGGGTGGAGTTACTTAAGCTCTGAACCTCAGTTTTCTGCCCTGTGGAATGGATCTCATTAGAGTACTTGCCTTATTGGTAGTTGTGGCAATTAAATGAGATAATGCATTTATAAAGCCCTTGGATCAGTGACAGGCACAGTCTAAGCACTGGATAAATATTGGCTATTCTTATTACTGGCTGTTACTACTACTGCATTTATTGGGCCCAGCACGGAGCCCAATGCGGGACTTGAATTTACGACTCTGAGATTAAGACCTGAGCTGAAATCAAGAGTCAGACACTTAACTGACTGAGTCACACAGGCACCCCTTACTATAGCATTTTAAATATTCAGTGTCTACGCTCATATGGACTTTGACTTCCATGAGGATGACTATATTTTAGTCATGTTTGTAGCCTCTGCACATAGCACCATGCTAGGAGTAGGGTAGAAATTAAATATATAATTTTGGACTTACATTAGGAGACAACGAGATCTAAGAGAAGATTCTGTCATGATGATTTGATATTAGTGGGCTTATCTTGTCTGAGAATGGGACATGCATAATTTTTTTTCCTGGATAAAAGGTGGGATATAATTTTTCCTTCTCTCCAATCTCAGCCCAGTGGGACTTCTACCTAGAGTAAGAAATAGTGCCCCAACCCCTGCTGGCAGCAAGAGCCTTGTCCAGGAGATAGCCACGTGCACAGCTGTGTCTGGTTGCGGGGGGGGTTGCTACCTGTGTGGTGGGATTTCAGGGGCATTAGGATGGCGGCACTTCTATCTCCTGCCTCCACCCACCCCTGCTTCCAGACCCTCTCCTGTGAAGACTGGAAGTTTAGTTGGAGCTTTCCTTCAGCATAAGGCTTTATTCAGCAGAGATAGCGATGTAAGGTGATTGCCAGTCATTTATCCCATACTGCCAGTGGTTCTCCTGTCCTTTTCTGAGCACTGGTTCCCAAAAGGGGGTGAGAAACATTGCATGAATATATTGCAAGGGCCCTGAAGAGAAAGTAAGTGAGTGATCCGGGTTTGGGAAAGTGTGCTGAATAAGGAGGCAGAGAAATCAAGGAGAAGCCACCTACTCTAGAGTTTTGCCTGGGATTATACTTTTTCTAGAAGGAAAAGAGTTTGGCATAAATACTATCTATCCCTGCAGAGAAGTCTTGCTGGAAAATACGATGAGGACGGCTACCAGGCAGGCACATCTGGCAGCTGCATGTGTCCTTTGCTGGCCTGGAAGGCAGGGTAGCATTGTGGCTTGGAATTGGGGCTTGGTGGTCCAACAGAGCTGGCTTCATCTCACATTATCTGTCTCCGCTGTGGGACTACTCTGGAGACACTTTCCTGATCTTGTTGAGGATCAGAAGAAATGATATGTGTGTTGCGGGGGGGGGGGGTCTAGTCCCACAGCTGTTGCACAGGAAACATTAAAAAATGTCAGTTCCCTTCCCTTCCCTCCCCTTCCTTTTACCTCTTTGTGCAAGATGGTGGGCATTATCCCCCCAACTCCTGCATGGACCCTCTTTTCCTTTCACCAGTTCCCCCACACTGTCTTTCCCAGTTCTGGCAGCATGGCTTGATGACTCATGACCTGCACATGCATTTTGAAATCTTTATAGCCCCAATAACCATGTTAATGACACAAAGGGAGATTTGCCGCCCTGTTATGAGAACCCAACTTTGAACCTTGCCACTGAGATAGACTGACTAATGGGGGTTTCGTCTGGATGCCATCACTGGTGTGAACTGCTGAAAACTGGCCCTTACTGACGTGAGCACAAAGTTGACGAAGGCAGTTTGTTGTTAAGTAGAGGCCTTACAGAAAGCACCATCCTTGTCTTGTACCAACCATGGTGGTGCCTGGACATCTGCCTCCACTTCTTGTGTCCTTTCCTCCAGAGAAGACGTGGAAAAGGAGTATGAGGGAGAAAGAGCTCCCAGATGAAGATAGTCCTTAAAAGGAATTGATGAGCTAGAAGTCTATAAAATTATTGTGTCAGTTAAGAATGCTTTCAGTAAGATCCGTACTTTTGAAACAAATAATACATTATATGTTAAAAAAAAAGAAAAGAAGATAGCAGGAAGGGATAAATGAAGGGGGGGAATCAGAGGGGGAGACGAACCATGAGAGACTATAGACTCTGAGAAACAAACTGAGGGTTCTAGTGGGGAGGAGGGTGGGGGGATGGGTTAGCCTGGTGATGGGTATTAAAGAGGGCACGTACTGCGTGGAGCACTGGGTGTTATGCACAAACAATGAATCATGGAACACTACATCAAGAACTAATGATGTAATGTATGGTGATTAACATAACAATAAAAAAATTAAAAAAAAAAGAATGCTTTCAGTATAGGCAACAGGAAGTTCAACTTTGGAGCAGCTCTAATAAGGAGAAGTTTCTTTTCCTCAGAAAGCAAGAAGCCTGAAGTGGGCAGCCCAAGGCAGGTTTTGCATTTCTGTGATGTGACCAGAGACTTGAGCTTCTTTCTCTTTGCTCCCCAATTTTTTGAGCTGGTTTGTCCCCTCATGGTTTCATGACAACCACCACAGCCATAGACATGAGGTCTATTGTCTGAGCAAGAACAACAGAGAAGGGGTGGCAAATCCAGCCACATCTGTCTTTTTTCATTGGGAAAATAAAAGCTTGACCAGGACGCCCCCAGTGGATTTCACTTTTTGTTTCATGAGCCAAAACTGGGTCACTTGGCTGCCCTGATGGTTGCAGGGGAGTCTGGGAAAGAGACCTCTTGGCTTCCCAAGGGAGAGAGGTGGGCGATGGCTGGGGGCAGCTAGTCCATGGGCCTGCTACAACTCTGAGGGTGAGGAGACCAGATTCCAAAAGCCCTCTGTGTTTTCATTTGCCAGATAACTGGTATCAAGTTAATCGAGATTCAGTGAACCAAGGGGCATAGTGGAAGAAGCCTTTTCCCCATACTCTTATCCCGATTATTATTCTCAGTATGTCCATCCCAAGAGTGTAATTGCTCTCCCTAAAGAAGTGGAAAAAACCAAATTCTCTTCCCCCTAGTTCTTCTCACTTTCTTGGTTTTGCCTCTCCAGCTCCCAAACCATCTACTTCTCATATTATACTTTTGATCCTAACCTTATCCCACCCCTGGTTTCTACACAAGTTGTAGACCTGAAGAATCACACAAGAAGGAGGGGACACCAGCTTTGGGTATGGGTGCTAAGTCCCTCATTCTAGAGGGTGCCCTTTGCGGGTGGGCTGATGGCTGGCTGTCCCCGCGTGTGCCGCATGTTGTGCTCAGCTTCCTTTAGAGGGACAGTCGTGGTGGAAGATGGAGGGATGGCAGGGGCTACAGTAGGCTCCCCATCCTCCTGGGCTGGGGACAAGTGGGAGTCACACCCTCCTGCACATCCTTGATGCTCTTGTTTTCCTGCCAGATTGTCCCGGCCATTTTTGCTCCCTCTGGTGGGTAGCGGGGCACAGTGGCTGAGAGCACCCATCACAGTCATAGGTTCGACCCATCCCAACCTGGGCAAATTGCTTCACCTCTCAGCATCTTAGTCTCATTTCCTGTAAAACAGAGCTAACTGTAAGAATTTGTCCCCAATTTGTTGTCAGGATTAACTGCTCAGGACTGAGCTCAGCACATACTGATTTCTCTTCTCCCTGTCACAGCCACCACGTACTGCTATCCCAGCCTGGATTTGGGGGTCTGCAGAGGCTGCTTGCCTCTCAAGTTCAGGGGCTTTGGGCTTTAGAAACATCATAGGGCTACTGCTTAAAGTAAACATTTTGTTCTTTTTTTTTTTTTCCCTACATGAGTATAGATTGCTAATCAAATGTTAAAACAGGAAGTGTTTCTTGAAGTCACAGTTCAAATTCAGATTCAGATTTGACTAAAATGTACCATGTAATGGGGTGCCGAGTAAGCACTGGACTCAACACATCTACATATTTCTCTCCCTTATAAATTCAGTTGTCCTTGAGGTGACTAAACTGTAGGGTGCTGGCAATCTGCCAGAAATGTTCTTATAAACTAACTGGAGTAGAGGAGAGGTGTTTTAAGAAGCTGGTATAAAACTGTGTGGTGTTTAGAAGGCAGAGTGGCACTGTGGGAAGATAGAAACTTTGGTTCAGTCAGACCCCCCTGTGTGTGCCCTGTCAGCCACTTGTGGAATTTACTCCGGGCAAGTAGCTTCACCTCCGTGAGCCTCACTTGTAACATGGGAGTGTTAATATTCTCCCCATAAGGTGATTGCTGGAATGGTCAAATGAGAAAGACAGTGTAAGGCTCATGGCAAGCCATCTTGACATAGTAGAAGCTCAAGAATATCAAAAATCTCTTTCTACCTGTTTTGACTACATTTTGCATTGTTTTGAGTTAGGTTAGACTCTTGTGTTTCATATGTCAGTCCCAGAAGCCTTAATAAAATCAGCAAGAGGCACGTGTATATTCATAATGATGGGTATGCCAATTTTTCTCTTTGTCTTTCCTTTTTTAACAGACAACTGGATATAGCCAACAGGGGAAGTTTAGTGGACCCCTGGAACCCAAGACATTTTCTATTTTTGAAGGCCAAGAAGCAAGTCAAGTCATATTCCAGGTAATGGCTCCTCTTGATCACTGTTATCTTGATTTTACAGGCTCTTGCAGTGGACTTTACTCCTCAATCTACTGTATAGCAGGAAATAAAATAGAGGCATGGCAGATCTCATTATCAAGAATGATTTCAGAAGCTAAGTTAAACAGAGAGATGGGAGGCCTTGGTCTTGTGAGGGGTTGTGCATGACATTCTCATTCAGACTTCTTCAACTGTGTCTGGGGGGAGTGCTTCCTTCCCTGGGGTGGGGAGCTTGGTACCTATAGATTCTACTTCTCCCCCAGGGTGGGAAGGGAACAAGCTTGTCTGTCCAATGAGCATGCTGCTAGAAGCATTGGAAGATGCTGGTTCTTTGGAGTAGCACTGGAATGGTGTGCTTTTCCTTAGTACCTCCTCTGAAGCCATCCCTGGGCCCTTGCCTATGGGTTGGCCATGCTGGGAGGTGGTCATCTTCTGTAGTTAGATAACTGAGAAAAGCATCAGACTGAGGGGTGGCCTGTAGATGGGAATAAGAGACTCCAGCTATAAAGGACACTAAAAAGATCCTGGAAATATAATGGGGAGGGAGAAAAACATACTCTTGCATTTACCAGAAATCTTCTGGGGGAGCCTACTTGGCCTTGGAGTGGTTGAGGATGGTTTGATGAGCCTTTGGGGTGTGCCCATGACCCCCACCCCATGCACTGTGGGAGCAATGGAGGGTTCCTGAACACCTGCCCTGTGCTGCCAGAGGGAAAAGCATGTACCAAGGACGGGCAGTATCGAATAGGTGTTCTGTGAGCACAGGTCCACATTCCAGTGAACAGAATCAGGACCACATGGAGGCAATCCCAAAGTTGCAAACCTCACAGACCTAGAAACTGGCTGGATAGGATGATTTCAGTCTCGGAGGATCCTATTCCTTGGGTTGCTTTACTTCTTTTTCTGTTCTTTTTCCATTAGCCACCCTACAAAGCCTGTCTCTTTTTGGCCAGTTGTCATGGCTGAACATTTCTTATTTATGGGTGAGTGTGTTGGAGTAGAGGAGTGGGAGATGAAGGGGATTTCCTTCCTAAGATCTCAGAATCTCTGTGGTAGAAAAGACCTAGGAGACTTTTGGTACCAACCACTTGTTTTTTAGATAAGGAAACTGAGGCTTAAATAAGTTAATAGCAGAGCTGAGATTAGAAAACAGGTCTCGTGACTCCTAGTCAAGCATACCATGCCTTCTCCATCTTTGTAAGTGGAGAGGATGCAGCAAACCTAGTAGTAAGATGCGCTTTGAACTCTTCGTTACAGTGGTGGGGAGGAGTTGTACAGATCCCTTCCTTTAGCACCACTCGAAGTATTCTTGCCTGGAGTTTGGGAGACACAAAGCCAGCTCATTGCCCCATGAGACTGGTCCTTGGGTTGGTAAGAGATCTTAAAAAACAGAACAACAACAAAAAAGAACTAAACAGCCACAGACTTCTTTCATTGAGGATTTACAACGAGCTCAGTACCCTAGGGGTTTCCAGATCATGATACAAATCAGAGCTAGGTCATTTTTTCCCTTTCTAATGAGATTTAGCTTACACACCATAAAGTCTACCCTTTTAAAATGTACAAATCATGGATTTTTAATATATCACAAAGATGTGCAACTATCACCACTATCGCGTTCCAGAACATTTTCACGAGCCTCAGAGAAACGCTGTATCTATTAACAGTCCCCGTTCTCTCTTCCCAGCCCCTGGTAAACACAGATCTACTTTCGGTATCTGTAGATTTGCCTATCTGGACGTTTAATGTAAATAGAGTCATACACGTGGGCTTTTGTGTGTGGTTTCTTTTAGTTAGCATGTTTTCAAAGTTCATCTGTATTGTAGCAGGTATTAATACTTTATTCCCTTTTTGTAGCTGAATAATATTCCATTGTATGGATATATACCACATTTTGAATGGCCATTTATCAATTGATGGACATTTATGGCTATGATGAATAATGCTATTATGGACAATCATGTACAACTTTTTGTGAGGACATATGTTTTCAACTCTTTTGGATATATACCTAGGAGTGGAATTGCTGGATCATAGTTAATTCAATGCTTAACTTGTCGAAGAACCGTAAAACTGTTCTTCAAAGCAACTAAACTAGTTTACATTCTTACCAGCATTGTATACAGGTTCCAATTTCCCTACATCCTTGCCAATGCTTGTTATTATCTGTGTTTTTTATTACAGCTATCCTCGTGGGGGTGAAATGGTATTATTTTTTTCTTTGTGCTTTGGGTTTCCATTTCCCTAATGACTAATGATGTTGAGTATCTTCTCATGTGCTTATTGGCTATTTGTATATCTTCTTTGGAGAAATCTTTTGCCTATTTTTTAATTGGGTTGTTTGTCTTTTATTGTTGTAAGAGCTCTTTATAGATTCTGCATACAAGCTCCTTATCAGATATATGATTTGCAAATATTTTCTCACATTCTATGGATTTTCGTCTCATTTTCTTGATAGTGCCATTTGAAGCACAAAGGCTTTTAATTTTGATGGGGTGTTTTTCCATTTATTTAGATCTTCTTTAATTTTTTTCAACAATGTTTTATAGTTTTCACTTTACAAGTATTGTATTTCTTTGGTTACATTTATCCTGAAGTATGTTACTCTTTTCGATCGTGTTAAAAATGAAATTGTTTTCTTAATATCATTTTTAGATTGTTCTTTGCTTGCATGTGGAAATACAATTGATTTTTTTATATTGATATTTTATTCTGCAACCTTATTGGACTTGTTTATTAGCAGTAATAAATTTTTTAGATTCCTTAGGATTTTCCATATATAAAATCATGTCATCTGTGAATAAGGTAGTTTTACTTCTTTCTTTCTAATCTGGATGCTTTTTATTTCTTTTTCTTGCCTAGGACCTTGAGTACAGTGGCAAGATTGGGAATTCTTTTCTTGTTTCTAATCTTTTGGGGGAAAGCTTTTATTCTTTCACCATTAATTATAAGGTTAGCTGTGGGTTTTTCTTAAAAGCCCTTTATCAGGTTGAGGAAATTACCTTCTCTCTTTTTTTTTTTATTATGTTCAGTTAGCCAGCATATAGTAGTACATCATAAGTTTTTGTTGTAGTGTTCAGTGATTCATTAGTTGCATGTAACACCTAGTGCTCATCCCACACATGCCCTCCTTAATACCCATCACCCGGTTACCCCACTCCCCCACCACCCTCCCTTCTGTAACCCTCAGTTTGTTCCCCAGAGTCCAGAGACTCTCATGGTTTGTCTCCCTCTTTGATTTCTTCCCATTCAGTTTTCCCTCCCTTCCCCTGTGGTCCTCTGCACTATTCTTTATGTTCCACATATGAGTGAAACCATATGATAATTGTCTTTCTCTGATTGACTTATTTCACTTAGCATAATCCCCTCCAGTTCCATGCATGTTGATGCAAATGGTGGGTATTCATTCTTTCTGATGGCTTAGTAATATTTCAGTATATATATATATGTATCGCATCTTTAGCCATTCTTCTGTTGAAGGGCTTCTCAGTTCCTTCCACAGTTTGGCTATTGTGGACATTGCTGCTTATGAACATTGGGGTGCATGTGCCCCTTCTTTTCACTACATCTGTATCTTTGCACTACTAGGTATTTAACTCAAAGATACAGAGGAAATTACTTTTTATTCCTAATTTGTTGAATATTCTTTTTTAATCAAGAAAGAATGTTGGATTTTGTCAAATGATTTCCTGCCTCTATTGAGATATTCATTTGGTTTTGTCCTTTATTCTATCAACATAGGGTATTAAATTAATTGACTTTAGTATATTGAACCAGCCTCATATTCTGGTATAAATTCTACATGGTCATGGTATATAATTGTTTTTATATGTGGCTAGATTCAGTTTCCTAGTATTTTGTTGAAGATTTTTGCATCTATATTCATAAGAAATAGTGGTCTGCGGTTTTTTTGGGTTGTATCTTCTGATTGCATGTCAGGGTGATACTGTCCTCCTAGAATGAATTGGGAAGTATTCCTTACTCTACTTTTTGGTAGCATCTGTGAAGATTTGGTGTTATTTTTTCTTTATGTGTTAAGTAGAATTCACCAGTAAAGCCAACTGGTACTGAGCTTTCCTTTGTGTAAGTTTTTAATTACTAATTCAATCTCTTTACTTGTTATAGTTTTATTCAGATTTCCTATTTGTTTTTTAGTTAGTTTTGACAGTTTCTGCCTGTCTAAGAATTCATCCATTTCACTGATGTCTAATTCATGGGGGAAATAATTACTTATCATATTCTCATTAAACCCTTTTTATCTCTGTAAGGCTGGTAGCGATGTTCCCTTTTACATTCCTGATTTCAGTTATTTCAATCTTGTTTTTTTCTTATTTTTAATTATTGTTAAAATTTATTAATTTATTTTATATAAAGAGAGTGAGCACAAGCAAGGGGATAGGCAGAGGGAGAGGGAGAGTCAAACAGACTCCTGCTGAGTGCAGAGCCTGATGCAGGGTTCAATCTCAGGACTGAGATCATGACCTGAGCTGAAATCAAGAGCTGGATGCTTAACCAACTGAGCCACCCAGGCGGCCCTATATTGGAGATTTTCAATGCCCCCTAGGGTCATCTTACTTCCCAGATGAACTATTTAAGTATTTTGGTCAGATTCTTGTTTGTATCAGCTGTTATCACTGCCTCAGGTAGCTGCAATGTTAAACAATTGCTGATGATTATTTTTGACAAATTCCCCAAGAGAAAAACCGTTTGCAGTGAGTGAACTCTGAGGTCAGATAAAGACAAGCCATTTGAGTAGGTGTTTCCAGGGAACTCCAGATAGGTCAGATAATAGCAGTTGTCTGGGAACGGGGATTTTGGGAAACTCCAAACCCTTTCCGCCCCCTCCATAGTACTGAGGCTCTGAGGCTGTTGGATTTCAAGGTTAATGCATATCTTGAGAAAAGACAACGGAATTAGGGCAAGTCAAACTAATAACAAAACTTGGTTCTTATTGAAAGTAATTTTCTTAATTAAACACTTCTTGGATCTTGCAAGCATTTGGTTAATTTCCAAGGTTCTGAAAAAGCTGATATTTATTTATAATTTTTCTTTCCAGTTTCTCATTGCTTTTATGGAGGAAAAGTTCTTTTTTCGATCCTTATTCCATCTTTCCCATTGATATCCTTAAAACACAAAATAGTAACACTTTTCTTTATTACATAAACAACATAATATCAACAACAAACACAAAAAAGTATTCACTCACAGTTCTACCCACTTAGCACATTAACTAGTTTTTTTTCCCATATCTTGCCCACTGACATGAATGCTTTTGGTACTGTTACAATCATAGTTTAGATTTACTCTTATAGTCTCCTTCTGTAATTTTTTTCTTATGCTGCTTCATAATTTATAGAATGAACATTTTAATGATTAATGTTCTATCAACTTTATGTGCTGTAATAATATTATCACCTTTAGTTTTTGTTCATTAGGAGTTTTCAACTTTCCAGCATTGTAAATAAGGCTACTTATACTACAAGCATGTAGTTTATTGTTGGAGAAATATTTCCTTAGGATAAATTCTGTTAAGTGATGTTTGCTATCAAAGACTACATTCTATGCCTCAGGTGATTTCCAAAGGGAAATTTGTGCTAATTTACACTTCCATCAATAATACATGTGTTTCTTTATGTCCTGTACATTGGCTGTTATTGATTTTTACTGTTAATAAAAATTATAAATGTGTATTAAGATTATTAATGAGGTTGAACAAACTTTTATGTCTGCTTTATTTTATGTGAATTTTCTATTCTTGTGGTCTTAAAAGTGCTATAACTCTTACATGAATAATTATTGATATTTTCTTCACTTCTGAAAATGTAATTAAGAGATTGTCATATAGAACTTTATCAAGTTAAAGCCACTTTGAAATTGTTTTCCTTAATATTAAAATGTCTTTTGACCTTTGTCACAATGTTTAGAAGTAGCAGATGACATCTTTTTTAATCCTAGCAATAAAGTTATTTCTTTTAATGTTTCTTAGAAGCCAGTGATGTCAAAGCTCTCAGATATTCTCAGAAAAAAATCTCATCTAACTCCAGCTACAATTTAAAGCATCAGTTGGCTTTTGTCAATGTATTAAATTATATCATACATTGTTTCTTGAAGGAAATGTATTTTAAAGGTTAAATAGTTAATGTTCAAGCAAATTTTTAGAATGTATCACTTTATTTTTTTAAAGATTTTATTTATTTATTTGAGAGACACAGAGAGAGAGAGAAAGAGGATGGGGGGGCAGAGGGGCAGAGGGAGAGGGGGGAGCAGACTCCCTGCTGGGCAGGGATCCCGATGCAGGACTCGATCCCAGGACCCCGAGATCATGACCCGAGCAGAAGGCAGACGCTTACCGACTGAGCCACCCAGGCACCCCTAGAATGTATCACTTACTTTTATTTATTTATTTATTTTCAAAAGATTTTATTTATTTATTTGACAGAGAGAGGCAGCGAGAGCAGGAACACAAGCAAGGGGAGTGGGAGAGGGAGAAGTAGGCTTCCCGCCGAGCAGGGAGCCCAATGTGGGGCTCGATCCCAGGACGCTGGGATCGTGACCCGAGCGGAAGACAGACGCTTAACGACCGAACCACCCAGGCGCCCCGAGAACGTATCACTTTAAAAGCTCAGATCTTATTTAGTAATTATAAAAATGAAAATGTTACCTGAAACTGGCGACTTTCTACAAATTCTACAACATTCTGTTTCCTTACAACCTAATCTGATTTTTGCCTTTTCCCAGTTTAAGGCCAGTCCTCCTGCTGTGACTTTCAAACTAACTGGAGAGACAGATGGCATATTTCAGATACAACCAGATGGACTTCTATATCATAACAGAGCCTTGGATAGAGAAACAAGAGCTGTTCACAAACTCCAGGTGACTTGAGAAGAGTCAAAGCAACCTAACTGCAACCTCTCTGACTATCCTTTAGCTTTGTCCTGGAAGTATCACTGGCACCTTCACTTCTTTCATAGAATCCTGTTACAGCTCTCTTGACATTAATGGCATGCTTTGCAAATCTCATTTGTCCATTTTTTACCAACTACAAAGGGATACCCCTTTGGGTATGGCAAAGATACCCTCTTCCTCAGGCTTTTTTTTTTTTTTTTAAGATTTTATTTATTTATTCATGAAAGACAGAGAGAGAGAGAGAGAGGCAGAGGGAGAAGCAGGCTCCCAAGGAGCAGGGAGCCCGACGCGGGACTCAATCCCAGGACCCTGGGACCATGACCTGAGCCGAAGGCAGACGCTCAACCATCTGAGCCACCCAGGCGTCCTTCCTCAGGCTTTTTAACCAGAGTAACTCAATTTGAATTGCCAAAGCCCTCAGATGGCATTACTTGTTCAAGGATGGCCATGCTCAAGCACCTGGATCAAACCAAGCCAGTGCTTCTCTGATATTTCAGTGTTATCTGCCTGTGGCTGTTGTGTGGGCTTTGGACCCGCAGGGAAGGCAGCATCAGTGCGGGGATAGAATGCCTATGGGCCTTGCAAGAAAGCAGAAGTAACCAATGTTCAGACGCTCTCACTAAAGAGACCTTCTCCCTCTTTGTCCTCCTTAGTTTTTTTATGGTTGGCATCTGAATACATAGGAATGGTAGAGAACTAATTGTAGAAAAAAGGGCAAGCAAAACTTCCCATCTGGTAACTTCTATTGGCTTTGCAGGTTGACTACTAAAATTATCTGTCAGAGGACATGGCACCTCCATAGCCTTAAGGGTCAAAATGTTCTTATTTCACTGACTTATATTTAGAAAAGAAGCATGTCCAGTGTCCAGCATACCTTACTGCTGGGAGAACACAGACATGATTAGCAGAGTTTAACTGATTGGGTCCCTATTTTAGTAGCTCCCAGTATGGGGCTTTTATGGGTGTCTTTCTCCCCTCTAGTCACCAGGTTATTGGATCTTTGAGCTCTAATTTCCTTCAACTGACTTTTGAGTGTGTGATATGAAGATCAGAATCATCAAGGTGGTTTCCTTTTCCTTTCTTCATCAGGTCTCAGCCCTGGATGCTCAAGGAACTATAGTGGAGGGCCCAGTTCCCATCACCATAGAAGTGAAGGACATCAATGACAATCGACCCACATTTCTCCAGAAAAAGTATGAAGGCTCAGTAAGACAGAATTCTCGCCCAGGTAAAAGGCAGGAGTCCGGAGATATTTATGGAAAGGTGAAGAATATCAGGCTGAAGGGGCAGATTTGTGTGGCTAACAGCTGCAGCATGACTCATTAAGCACTTCCTGTCATACTTTAATTTCACAGCAGTCCTCTAGGAGTTATTTTATTATCCTCATTGCTCAAAGACATGGCTTCTCAGCTTTGGCACTATTGACATCTTGGGACCAATAATTCTCTTTTTGTCAGGGGCTCTTCTGTGCATTGTAGGGTGTTTTGCAGGATCCCTGACATCTATCTACTCACCAGATGCCATTAGCAACCCCTCCTCCCAAGCTGTGACAACAAAGATGCCTTCAGGCATTGCCAAATGTCACGTGGGGGGCGAAATCACCCCAGTTGAGAACTATGTTTCTAGAACAAGCTTTAGAACACCTTACAGCTCTAGGACACTCAAGAATACTCTGCAGAGGTGAGCTCATTCTCCTAAATTCTCCCAGAAATCTTCATGCTCATGGTCACTGTTGGCTCCCAGTTCCTTTTCTTCTTTTACTTGCAACTCCTACTTACAGCTCATCCCTTCACTTTGCTTATACCCTTCATTTCCATAAAAGCCCCTCATCAAGGCATAGGTGTGTGGCTCTATTGAAGATCTGGGGAGATGAAAGAGCATTATGTCATAATATGAATATGAAGAAAATAAATGTGAATATTAGACTTCTAAGTTCTCAGAAAAACTCTTGGCCATTTCTGCCAACTCACTGTCAAATTTCCCTCTAGGTTACTTAATCTTCTCTATCTCTCTCTTCAATGCCCACTTCCAATAACTTGGGGAGAATATTCCTTCCACTTTATTACATGGAATATCTCTATCCCTGAGCTTACAACCAAAGACTCACTTATGAAATCCGCTAAATAAGAATCTTCCAAGTCTGGGCACCTGGGTGGCTCAGATGGTTAAGTGTCTGCCTTCGGCTCAGGTCATGATCCCAGGGTCTTGCGATCGAGTCCCGCATCGGGCTCCCTGCTAAGCAGGGAGCCTGCTTCTCCCTCTGCCTCTGCCTCTCTCTCTCTCTCTCTCTCTCTGACTCTCATGAATAAATAAATAAATAAAACATTAAAAAAAATCTTCCAAGTCTTACGCTTTCTCTCTATACATCTAGATCAGTGGTTCCCAAACTTTGTGGTATCCTGTGTTTTTTTAAAAATTATTAATAACTCCAAAGGACTTTTTTTTTTTAAATATATGGGTTCTATCCAGTGATGTGTTGGTAAATGTTTAGTAGCTGTCTCTCTGAGGGGAAAAGCCCTGATGTGTAGCATTTTCCAATTTCTGTGGTATAAATACTGCCACCATGGCTCATATAAGCTACCAAAGGTGTTAATAATTGGCTCACAAAGTTTCTGGAAATTCAACTATTGGCTCTCATGAGCTGGCTCCAGTACTTCACTAATTATATCTACCAATATTTACCTTATTAGAATTTTATAAATTTAATTCATGGTAAGTAATAATCAACATATTTTAGTGAAAAATAACTATTTTCAAAGACAAAAGGAATTATTAAGGATGGCTTTGTTTTAATCTTTGCACATCTCTTAGTGACTGGAGTAATTCCCTGAAAACAATTGGATTCTTGTCTTTTTCTGCATCCATTCTGTTGCCATATGCTGTTTTGGTTGAAGCATATGAAGCAGAACTGGCCTCACACAGATATGCGGTTGGAAAAAGGAGGAGTATTGTAATAGCATTTTCAGATAACTGTGGATATTCTTTGATACTACACCAGAACTCAACAAGTGGTGGTTTCTTAAAGGCTGGTGGTGATGTGAAATCTAAAATTGTATCAATGTCTTTTTTTTGATACTCCTTTATGCTAAAATCCATTGAATTATCTTGTGCTTCAGTGGATCTTTTACACATGCATGACTTTTTTACTCCATCAAACCTAAAAATAATCTCAAAGACCCCTTACAAATCCCTGGACCATACTTTGAGAAACCCCATCTTAGTGGAAGGAAGTAAGATAAAGATTTATTTCCCTGCTAGTATAAACTCCCCCATTCCCTTAAGAATTTTATCTTAGAAGATAAAAGTGGCTATGGTTGGTTTGGATTTCAATAAACATCTTTTTTTCCCCCTCTGGGGATATTTTGTTAAATAGGAAAGCCCTTCATGTATGTCAATGCTACAGACCTGGATGATCCAGCCACTCCCAATGGTCAGCTTATTTATGAAATTGTCATTCAGCTTCCCAAGATCAACAACATCATGTACTTCCAGATCAACAACAAAACCGGGGCGATTTCACTTACCCTAGAAGGTAAGTCAAGTGATGCCCTTGTGAGACTGAGTCAGAAAAATGGACCTAGATCTGTGTTACCTTTGGAGATGTTTCTTTTTCTCTCCTACTTCCCATAGGATCTCGGGCACTGGATCCAAGTAAGAATGTTAACTACAATCTGGTGGTCTCAGTGAAGGACATGGGAGGCCAGAATGAGAATTCTTTCAGTGACACCACATCTGTGGATATTATGGTGAAGGAGAATATTTGGAAAGCACCAGAACTTGTGGAGATCGTAGAAAACTCAACTGAACCTCACCCCATCAAAATCACTCAGGTAGTGCCCAAGGAGTGTCTTGAGACTAGTAGATAAATGGCCTCACTTTGTGGAGGCCCACTCTCATGCTCTTCACTGATATATTTATTTGGTACATTTGTACATAGCATAATTATAAAACAAACTAAGTAGATAAAGACTCTGGCCCCAAGTCTCTGGAGTTTATTAGTTTATTATCATGGGTAAACTCTGGACTTTACCAGCTTGGATTCAGATACACACACACAAACACACAAGCTTTAAAAGAGAACTTCGCTCACCTTCACCTTCCGAGTAGATACCACTAATGTCTGTGTACTGTCCGTAGTATGGGATATGGCTGCACTGGAGTGGGTTCTATATGGTGCACAAATCATGTGTATATACATGATTTGAATAGGAACTGTAAATATTTTTGAAAAGCTTCTTCTTATTCTTGTGAGAAAGTCTTTATCCAGTAGACTCATCCCATCATAGACTGAGGGACAGAGCAGGACTGGCTAAGAGTAGGAGTCAAGTAGGCAACCTGTACCCTTGGAGACCACCTTCCTGCAACTTCGTCTCCTATATGTGCCTCTCCTCTTCATTCACATGTCCCCCTCTTCCCCTCCCCATGGCTGGAGCTCTTACCCTGGGTCCCCTCCTACCTTAGATCCTGGAAATCTGCTCTTAGGTCCACCCAGATCTTATCTTTTCTGGAATATCAGGAGCTCCTTGACATGAAAGCTGTGGATTAGTGAAAGAGCACTGGATTTAGAAGCAGATAACCAAAACCTTGTGCCCGCTCCATTATTTTAATGATCGATCATGAATAAGCTGTTTAACTCTTCTGAGCCCCAACTTCTCATCAATAAAATGGGGATAACCACACCTCTCTGATTGTTGTGGAGATTAACTCAGAGGTAGTATCTGTGAAAGTGGATAAAAGGTATTAATGTTATGAGTCTCAGCTTGGAGTTCCCCTAAGGTTTTTCTGCATGGGTGTTGTTGTTTTAAAGATTTTATTTATTTATTTGAGAGAATGAGAAAGAGAGAGAGAGAGAGAGCACGAGAGGGAAGAGGGTCAGAAAGAGAAGCAGACTCCCTGCTGAGCAGGGAGCCCGATGTGGGACTCGATCCAGGGACTCCAGGATCATGACCTGAGCCGAAGGCAGTCGCTTAACCAGCTGAGCCACCCAGGCGCCCCACGGGTGTTGTTGTTAAGGGGCACTGGAATGGCCCATCCCATCATATCTATTGTCTATCTTAAAAGGATATTTAATTGTTGAAATGTTGAATTAATGAACCTCACCTTCAGGGTGAAAAAAGGAATGAAAGCAAGAGGTAGTCTGCTTTACCAGCTAAGAAACTGTGTCAGGACTCACAGCCATGAGAATTTCAGACTTAGGTCTTTACTAAAGTCTTATTTATTATTTAGGTTGTCTCCATAAAGACTTACAAATGCCAAAAAGAACAAACATACTTATTTGCTCTCAAGTTTGTTGAAGTAGAGAAATTCTAGAGTGCTACACATGATTCCCAGGCCCGGGGGAAAGTGATTTAGGTGTCTTGAAACCCAAGAAGAAGAATCGAGGGGGACAGCTCAAGAGAAAAGAAGTCAGACTGAATTTTTAGGACACAGGGGTGGTCCCTGAGAACCAAGAACACCAGTCTTTGGCTTGGACAAGAGGATGGTGCTTAAATAACTAACAAGGGATGATGGAGGCTCCTTAATACCCTTCCCGAGCTGGTCTAAGAGAATAGTTCGGTCTGGAAATTTCAGATAGCCATAGGAGCTTGGGCAAGTCATTTAAATATTGTGCCCTAGTTTCCTCATTCATAAAATGGGTATAACAATTGTCTCCACCACTCTACCTCATCAGGCTCTTTGAGAATTTAATGAGATAATACTTAAAAGTGTTTAGAATTGCATCTGGCATATGGCAAACCCCTAATAGGTGTTATTATTAGTATTAGAATATCAGAGTGGCCGGGCTCTGTCTCTAGCAAGTGCTTACTATTGAGTTTATTTATTTTTTGCCAAGTTGTTTACAAACAATACTAGGAGTTGGCAATTATTCTTATCTCCGAAGTCTTTAAGACTAAATATTCAGGGGAGGAATGTGCTTTACTTATGAACTATCTGTCTTAAATCATGGCATGGAGATGAGCTTAGAGTGTCTCCTACTGCTCTTATCATCCTCACTGGGGAGTTACAGAAACTTGTCATACCTCTTGGCTTTGTTCTCAGATAGTACCAGCTGTAAAGTACATTTTGTTTCTTAAATTGATGTTTCATGGATAGGAAGACTCCATGGTCAGACTTCCAAAAGAACAACCCACAGTCTCTTTAGAGGGTTCACAAAAATTGCTTTAGAGAAGAAAAATACCCCTGTGTGCTTTTTTTGAGCACTATAACTTGGTTAAAAAAAAGAAGGAAAAAAGGCTTATTTTTGGTTGAATATGAAGTAGTTATAGGAAACCACAGCCGTACAAACAAGATTGTCAGAAATTTCAAATTGAGAACCAGAAAAGTGTTTATTCCTTTCCAGTTCTCTTGGTCTTGATATATCTCTCCTGACAACTCACTGTGGCCCTTATAGGTGCAGTGGAATGAGCCAGGTGCACAGTACTTCTTAGTTGACAAGGAGAAGCTGCCAAGATTCCCATTTTCAGTTGACCAGGAAGGAGGTATTTATGTGACTCAGCCCTTGGACCGAGAAGAAAAGGATTCGGTGAGTAAATCTGGGAAGAGTTTCACGGGCAACAAAGACAGAGTCCTGTGCCTATGGACAACTCAGGGCAGAATCGATTTTACTTAAAAACAACAACAAAAACCCCAAACTGTGTTCTGAACCCCAGTACATGATTGCTTTCAAAGACAAGAGAGCACCCCACAGATCTGACCCATTTCATTTTTTCTTGTTTCCCAGTTCAAAGTAAATTGAAAATAAAGGGGTAAATTAAATAGCTGTTTTCTTTGCCTTTTAATGGGGAGGATGGAGGAGTCCTGTCTTAACACTGATCTTCCTGTTGTAGTATGTTTTTTATGCTGTGGCAAAGGATGAAGTTGGACAAGTGCTTTCATTCCCACTGGAAATCCGTGTGAAAGTTAAAGACATTAATGATAACCCACCTACATGTCCATCTGCAGTGACCGTATTTGAGGTCCAGGAGAATGAAAATATAGGTAAGAAATGGGAGCTGTTCAAAGCCATGTGACTGGCCTCCATATGTTACCTCCGCAATCCCTTTCTCCTTTCCACCAGGGAAAAGATGGGCAGGTAAGTGTGATTGGGGATCATCTGTGCATGTCTGGCACAGGAGAGAGATTTGAGTGCACTTTGGGAATCACACAGGTACAGTATTTCAGCTCAAATAATATCTGGGTCGCATTCTTAAATTGGAGCTTTTATAACTACTACCACCATTACTCCCACTACTATAACTGTTACTACTACTACTACTATTACTTCTACACCCTTACCACTGCCACTGGCACCGTAACCACTTATGCCCATATCCTGAATACATATATAAGGTTATCTCATTTGCAAAGTTTTCCCATAGATTCTTATTTGCCTTCTAACAATCCCAGTAACAGATAAAATCTCATGAAATTTGCTAAATAATTTAGATAAATAATTACATCCAATGTCAGATACCTTGCAGTAAGTAAGCGCCAAAAACGGAAGTTGACTTTTGACCCTTGATCCTCCTTCTCTAGGAGTCAAATAATAGTTTAGGAAGCTGGTAGATGAAGTTCGAGTCCTACCTCTTTTTGTCCTTGCAAGTCTTCTTGACCTGCTGTGATGCGTTTTACTGTGTCGAATGGTGGCTTTAGTTTTGTACAGGGGACCTCTACTACAAGGACATTAGGATTTCTGGGAGTTTTATGACTTCCCTGGATTTGGGACAACTCTTGTCTATTACCCTGTGGTGATGAGCCCGTTGGTTGAACAGGCTGGTATTTCTTGGAATGTGTTTGTCTGTTGTTTTGTGCAAGTTCCAGAGACTTACAAGGTTAGCAGTCTCTTATGACTGCCACTCTTAGGGCTCTGCTGTCCTTGTGAGCAGATCCTCTCTCCCATGCCTTGTGGACACTCTCATCATTTTCTTTGATCGCTCTACTCTTCTTGCTACACATTTTTGACACAGTGGGTGCTGTTCTGGCAGCACGATGGGCCCTGCTCCTGTGGCTTGTTTGCTCAATGTGCATGTTTTACTTGTTTTGTTTTGTTTTGTTTTCTTGCTGTCAGGAGTCCTATATAGGCGGCCTGTTGTCAGTATGTTCTGCTTAGGGCTTGTCTTTTTCATTTATTCTAATGTTTGCTGCAGCAGGAAGGGTTACATGACAGCTTGAAGGATTTTAGCTAATTACAAAGAAGAATCTTCTAACAGTGATGTTGTGTAACAATGGAGAGAGTGACAATAGCCAAGAAATACTTGTGGCATCACCCTTTTTGAAAACCTTCCAGATTTCTGGTTTGTGATACTGAAGGAAGGCAGAGGACCTTTGAAGAACTTTCCAGATGATCCCTCAAGTCTCTTTTATAGGGCCTAACATTTGGTGTATTCATTATCTATTGCTGCATAACAAATAGCCCCCAGACTTTGCGGCTTCAAACAAACATTTATTATATCAGTTTCTGTGAGTCAGGAATCAGAGTGCAGCTCAGATGCATACCTTTGATTCAGAGGGAAAGTTTGGTGGGGGGGGGCAGGAAGAGCTTGAAAAATGGTGAGCAAGATGAAAGGCAGTATTTTTATAATGTAATCTCTGAAGTGGCATCTGTCACTTTCACCATATTCCATTGATTAGAAGTGAGTCACTAGGCTCAGGCCACACTCAGAAGGAGGGGGTTACACCAAGGAATCATTTTGGGGGAATCACTGGGAACCATTTTAGAAGCTGCCTACCTTTGTGAAGAGGATAGTACTGGTTTTCTGAGACTGGTGAGGAAGTCATTGTTGGTAGAATAAATTGTTCAGGGGCCCAGGGAGCTATTCGCCTCTCTAAAGGTGAGAATTTATTTTGTAACAATGTCTCACAAAGTGTCGAATAGTAGACTTAGTGGACCAGGAATTCTTATAAATCAACAGAGATTGAGTCTGTTCTTTATATTTAGCCTAAAAGAGGTACAAAACCATGTCCTAGCTCCCTACCTTACTGTCTAGCTCAATAAAATACTAAATTATTCTCTAGTGTGTTGATATTCTCCTCTTTGGTGTCTTTGATTAGCCAGAATCTTGTGGGACTCATGTCCCCAAGTTTTAGCAGTGCCAATATTAATTCTGAAATCCCACTTGTTAACCAAATCCTATGTGTTCATACAGGAAGTTTAGCTTCTCGTAAAAGCCCCACCTCCTTAAAGTATTTCTGAGTACCCCAAGAGCTGCTGTAAATACCTCTGAATCAATTTGGGCTGCCACTCGTTCCTGGCCTTTGTTCTTCAGAGACCTGGCCCTCCTTTTACTTCTGGCGCATCCAAAAAGATTCTCTGCTCCCACCGAAGAGGCATTCTCTGCTGGAATTTCCCTGGTCACTGATGTCAACTGTCCTTATGGTGCCTCTGACAGCTGGAATTTTCCTGTGGGGTGGGAGAAGAACAGTGTCCTCTGTGTTACACTTAACTTGCTGAGAGGAGAGGTCCAAAGCAGGGCCACTCCGACCCCAGAGGATCACAGGATTCAGTAAGATACTCTTTCATCCCAACACACAGACACTTAAGGGCAGATGCATGCCACAAAGGTGACTTGGTTGTAGTGGACTCAGCAAGAGCAGCTGCTACTCTCTTGGATAAATATTCGCCTGTGCCCTGTTGGTCATGATGCCCCCTCCCCAGCCCACGAGACATGTCTACATGCGTCTAGCTCCATGACAGACATAACATAGAAACTTCCCTACCTCCCCCCTCAAAAAAAAAAAAAAAAAGAAAAGACAACGCCTCCAAATTTCCATGTAAGTCAGTGAATGCAGATTGATTGGGGAAGGGGTGAAACCTAACTCCACAACTGGGATGTGTTCAAGTTTTAGCCCCACGGTGGGATTCTTGCTGCCTCTTGGAAACCCACAATTCTCATTTCACAGAGCAAGATGATCCAGAACCTATTATAACTCACCCAGAACTGGAGGGAGCAGTGAGTCATAGCCTCTGCCTGCTGGAACTCCCCGGACCGAAATACTCACAGGAATAAAATACAAAGGGCCATAACCCGCAGCAAGGCGGGGGATGTGTGCCTGTTCTTTGCCCTGTGTTATCTGCAGCGTGGGGTCGGTCTCTGCAGTTGTTGCACGAAGTTGCTTAGAAGCAAGCCACAGTTGGCTTTTCCTTGTCGAGTTACACCATTTGTCTTGTCTATCAGTGTCCAAGGATGGCTGGAACACATTACCACAAACTTGGCTTCAAACAACAGAAATGTATTCTCTCACAGTTCCGGAGGCCAGAAGTCTAAAATCAAGATGCCAGCTAGGAGAGAATTCTTCCCAGCCTCTTCTAGCTTCTGGTGGCTCCTGGCATTCCTCACTGCTTATGGCCTAACTCCAGGCTCTGCCTCCTCCTTCACATAGCCACCCCCTCTGTGTGTGTCTCGTGTCATCTCATCTTCTAATAAGAACACCAATCACTAGATTTAGGCCTACCCTAAGTCCAGGATGATTTCATCTCAAGATCCTTAACAAATCACATCTGCAGAGGCTTTATTTCCAAATAAGGTCTATTTGTTATGGGCTGAATTCTGTCCCCCCTAAAATGCATATGGTGAAATCCTAACCCTCAGTACTTCAAAGGGGGACTACTACTTAGAGCTAGGGTCTATAAAGAGGTAGTTAAGGTAAAATACTGTCATTATGACTAATGTCCTTTTAAGAAGAGAAAATCTGGACTCAGACATGTCTGGAGGAATGACCATGTGAAGACACATGAAGATAGTCATCTAGAAGTCAAGGAGAGAAGTCTCAGAAGAAACCAGCTCTGCCGGCCCCTTAATCTTAGACCTTTAGCCTTCAAAAACTGTGAGAAAATAAATTTCTGTTGTTAAATTTGCCCAGTCTGTAGTGCTTTGTTATGCTGGCCCTATCAGACTAATAATATACTGCTCAACACACTACATTATGGCAAGTGTTAGAAGAATCAAATGAATGTAAGAACTTTAGTCTGCTACTCAGAGGGATTTACAGCACTTTCTAGGAACGTGCTTATCCAGTGAAACCATTTTGAATACAGTAAATTAAATAGAATCTGTAATGGATGGATTCCTTTTATTCTTTCTCCACAGGGAGCAATATAGGGACTTTTATTGCCCATGACGATGATGAAGAAAACACTGCCAACAGTGTTTTAGTATACAGAATTGTGGATCAAATCCCCACATTTCCCAAGGAAGGACTTTTCCTGGTCCAAACCTACTCAGGAGTGTTCCAGTTAGCTGAGCAGTCCTTGAAGAAGCGAGACACTCCTCAGTACAACCTGACAGTAGAGGTGGCTGACAAAGGTTAGTATCACATTCACTGTCAAAAGTGAAAATCCCTGTTTTCCTTCTAGTTGTGCTTTGTTAGACTGCTCTGATGCCCGGGTGTATTACAGGATGCCATCTGAGAGCTCTTGCTTCCTTCGTAAGACACACATGGAGCACAGAGGCAGTTGGTCCAACGTGGTATAGGCCAGAGTTACAGCTCAGGCAACATTATTGTATTGGTTCCAGTCCTCTGAGAAGCAGATGCCAAAAGGGGATTAAATGTATAAGGATTTTATTAGGGGAAAGGCCCATGAGAAAAAAAATGGGGGGGATGGCCTGAGAAGGTTGGGGGAGCCATCAGACCACAGTACAAGCCTAACCCTGAGTGAAGGAAAGCTGGTGGGAGTACCATAGACCACAGAGAGTCAAAAAAAATTGGCCAAGGTCCCTGGGAAGTCCAAAGTTGTCCATTGAATGAATCTGTGATCTCCTAGAATATGGCTGTCTTGGCCTGCCTGCCTTGCCTAGTCACTGGCTGGGGGCAGCCCATGGGGAGCAAGTCCTCCGTGCAAACATGCTGCTGCATTTCAGAGCACAGCAGGGAGCCATCATCAATTAAGTTCCCTGTTGTTGGAGGTCGGCAAGGCCTATTCTCATGGCCACTGAGATCATGACCCAGAATATTAATTGTATTTTCCAATTCTCCCTTTTGGACTCTAAAGACTCTATTGTATGAAAGTGGAGGAGGAATGCATCATTGGGGAAGGTCTGTCTTCTATCACCCCTCACTTGGCCATGAGACGTCAGGAGACATTGTTCCTGACTCCTATATAATTTCAAAGCAAGTCGTTCTTAATCTTTGTTGGCTCACAAGACCCTTTGAAGATCTGATGAAAACTGTGCGTTCTCTAACAAATGCACACATTTTTGGATGATTGTGCACAGACACACAAAAACACATGTATTCAGAGCCAGATTGATTTTGGGGGCACACACACACACACTCCTAGGTTAAGAATCTTTCTCTGAGTTAATGAGCACCCAATCTCAGATGACCAAACAGTTCAGTAATCATCGTGCTGGGAGTCACAGACTATATAGGTATGGAGAAGAAAAGAGCATCATTTCACACCACTCCTCTAATTTCCCCCTTTGTACAGATGTTGACATACTGAAGAGAATTAGGGTTTAACAGGCCCCCAATAAAGACTTTTTGGAAGTTAGTAATTTGGCAAATAGTGAGGACCTAGTATATGTCTAGAATTATGTTAAGAGGTACAACAGAAGTGAGTATAATAAATCATCCCTGCCTATGGTGAATTAACGATTTCACACCATTAACCATCCATTCTTTCAGCAAACAGTTATTGAGCACTTACCTTGCATGAGACACCATTCAAGGTATTGAAGATACACAGGTGAATAAGACCCAGGGTCTGTCCTCAAGGGGCATTCATGATAAAGGAGATGGACATGTGAATGAATAAATTACAAGAAACATGTACAAGGTAGCCCATGAAGGAAATGAGTGACTTAGTGGAGGGAGAGAGCAGGTCAGGCTTTCTGGAAGAGGTGTCATTGAGCTGAGTTTTGAAGGATGAATATGACAAGTTACAAAATAGTGCAGAGCTTATGGAGGAGAAGAAATTCCATCTACAAATGCATGGAGACCTGAAGTAATGTGAGGCTGTAAGAGCATAAGGTGGAAATCAGATTACAAATTGTCTATGTTCGTGAGTACATCTATAGAAAATAGGGACCAGATCACAAAATAGATTTATACATAAATAGATATGCATGCAGATGGAATTAAACATAAATTGTGCACTAATATAGCCTAGAGACTAGGCTTAATTAACATAGCTTTCCATAAGATTGGAGAGGGCTCGCTACCCAGGAGGCCACACTACTGGCCCAAGTGAGGTTTGTGCAGAGCTGGGAGCCAGCGAGTTCAGGTCCTGGGAAACCACCCCCCTTCCATCCCCGAACCATTGTTAACCATTCTTGTTGTCCTCAAATGTTCTGGGGACTGACCCCAGCTTTTATCAGCATCCATTATTATAATTCAATTGTTATTAGATCATAAGCCTGGCCTCATGTCCAGTGCATTGGACACCATCTCTGGAGTTAGACTGCCTGAGTGTATCTGTTGGGATCCCAGCAGGAAACGAGGAATAACCAAGAAGAGTTTAAAGAAGAGATTATTTGTAAAGGTTGTGGGCAGGGTGAAGGGAAACCAACTGGCGGCGCGAAGCGCAATGGACAGCCTCCCTCCACGGAGATGTGAAGGGGCGATTGAAGGCAGCATTCCACAAAGGAACAATACTTTTGCCTACAGAAGAGGCTACTGGGAGAAACTACCTCCCGACCTCTCTCCTCCTACCCCTCCTCCCATCCCCTGGCAGGAGCCAGGGTGCCCGGATGCAGTCTCTGAGGTCAGCCTCCCGGGACACGGAGCGGGGTGGAAGGGTGGAGAGCGGACAGAGAAGGCAAAGTGAGCACAAGGATTTGAATTCTGGCTTGACCACTAGTTAGTTGTGTGACCTCATTCTGGTTACCTAACTTCTCTATCCTGTGGCTTCCTCATTCATGAACTAAATGAGGACGATCATAGTATCTACGTCATGAAACTTGTATGACAATGAAATGAGTAATGCTGGTAAAGCACTTCATACAGGGCCTGGTACACAGAGAGTGCTGACAGTTTGTATTATGACAAGAACTCCAGTTCTGTTGTTATCTACATTTTATAGATTAACTAACTGAGACGCAGAGACCTCGAGAGACACACATCTGATAAGTTTTCCCACATCTGATAAGGGGCAGAGTCAGAATTCAACAGTGGGACTCCTGAGCCCTGAGTCTTAGCTATTATACAACACAGTACATCATGGTTTAGAGCCGTGGCAACCCCAACAGAGAACCTGTCACGTTGTTTCTCATTCTGGATATTTCCCTGGCACCCCATCCCCACCTGCATTCCATGCTCATCTTGGACCTTGCTTGAACCTGCAATCTCGGACTAGATCTTTGAATTGTCAAACCCACCCCATAAAGCCTGTGTCATTTTCCCAGGGTTCCATGAGCTACTTCTGACCCCCTGTTGCCTCCCACAGTCTGGGTAGCCAGCCCTCTTGAAGGGGGCTAACTGTACTGCTTCCTCCCTCATTTGGAGGAATAGGCACCTGACTTTCCCACCATGGAGGACAGAGGAGATGCAGGATGGTAAGTGCCGGAAGTGTTCAGAGAAGGAAAGACAGCTGGCTGGGTGACTCAGGGAAGTCTTTCTGGAAAGATAGTTTTGCTCTAGGTTTTGAAGGCTACATGGTTTCACTAGTTGGAAAAGAGAGGTTGCTTCACAGGAAAAAAAACCCCCAAAAACAAACAACCAGTCTTGATGAGAAACGAGTCTTACCCGGGAAGGAGCGGTTGGAGGACAGTGGGACACCCAGGGAAGCTTCTCTCAGAGCTTTCTCCAGCCTCCTTTTGCTGACCGTCTTGTGGGTGTGGGTGGGGAGCAGAGGATCCTGTCCCCACAAACACTGCATGTCAGTAGCAGAGTTGTGGCTGTGACTGTCACTTCCCTTGCCAATGTGTTTCTTGCAGATTTCTAGTTTTAACACATGATGTTTAATGAATATTTTTGTGATTTGACTTTGATTTTCAGATTTCAAAACCCTCTGTCATGTGCAGATCCATGTTATTGATATCAATGACCAGATCCCCATCTTTGAAAAATCAGATGTGAGTATAGTAGTTTTCACCTGTTGTTTTATCTTTGCTTTGTTCATATTACTTGACCCTTACTTCTGGGATAAAGACACAGCAAGTGGTTAGGAAAAATTCCAGACTTTAAAGGTAGCTTTCTAGTCAGTACACTGGTAACAAACCCGGACACCATCTTCATTGGAAATCTTCAGAGAACAATGGCATTCACTGTTAGAGTATCTGGGAACATCTGTTTATAAACTCCCAATGGCTCATTTCTTCCAAGGGCTTGCTTAAAAGCTGCAATGACAAGCTTTGTCAAATTGAAAGGAGTTGAATGGCTACTTGCATTTTGTCCTTATATATTTTGTGACAGTGAATGGATTACCGCTAGGTCTCAAACAAGCATTTTTTTTTAGTCAAAAACTTAATATTTGGAATACTGGTGATTTAAACTCTGTTTGCAATAACTGGGTAAGAGAAAGAGAAAGGAAAAACTGACCTCTCGGTTAAGCCAAAGAAGAACGTGCTTAAGACATTTGCAAGAATTAGGAAAATTGGGCAGAAAGAGCAGGGGAAAAAAGACCAGTTGAGAGAACATCAAGAAAAACGTTCACTTATTTGATATTTTGGGCTTTAAACTTGGGCGTGGCTTTACCACTGCTTCCCTTAAAAGGGAGGTCTCTATTCTGGAGCAGAGAGAAGTCCATTTGACTAGACTGTTTTGTCGTGTTTGAAGTCACTTATGGGACAGCCCAGAGCCCTGTGATGATGATCATAAATCAAAATAGGGACAAGGCTGTGACAAACAAAGGAAATTGAGTTATGAGAGGGTTTGGGGTGGCAAGAGGTGTGACTGAACTTAAGGGGTAGCAGGTGCTGGGGCCCCACAGGCATGAGATAAAGAGCCCATTCCTTTTCAGTCTCCACGAGCCTTTCCTTGGGTTGTGGTTTTCTTGTGTTGCATCTAGACAGTGGTTTTACATTGAGGATAAGAAGATCCTGCTTTGGGAGTTGGAAATGCAAACTGCACCCTAGAGAGAGCAAGTGGGTGTCTGTCATCGCCCCAGACTTTCCCTGGGCCCTGCCTGTTACCATCTTTAAGATCATGATGCCAACAGAGATGACCTGGGGGCTTTTCAGCAGAGAGGTGGGGGTTGGTCCAGGCCAGTGAGCAAGAACACAGGCTTTGGAGTTGGACAAGCATGGGCCTGAGTCCCAATTCTGTGACTCACTAGCTGTGAGCTCCTGGGTGGGGTTTACCTCTCCAATCCTTTGCTTTTCTGCCAAGTGGAAATGACAGTATAGCTACTTGATAGGGTGCTTTGTTGCTTATCTTTTCTGAGTCCTTATCATGTGCCAGGCATTAAGGGGGTTTACATTCTTTATCTCTCTCAATCCCCACAGCAAACAAGACATAGGTTGTATTGCTATTATTTCCATAAGACAGATGATGAAACTGAGACTTGAGGAAATGAGGTGACTTACTTCAGGTCACCCGGCTACTAAGTGGCAAGCTGAGGATTCATCCCCAGGCTGTTTGACTCCAAAGTTCAGCCTCTTAACCTCTCTTCCTTGGTGGATTACCGATTAACTAAAATAGTATATGTAAAATGCCTGCCACAATTTAGGTACTCAACACATAGTCGCTATTTATTTATATCATCACCAGTATAATAATTGCAGTTAATAAACGTATTGGATGTGAGAAGGGGAATCTGTTTTAGAATCCTACCAGTAGCTCCCCGAGACATGTTTCTTGGTGCAATGGATATCAGTCTACGAGGATGACTGATGTCAAAATCAATGACCACACATTTATTGGTAGGAAAACATGCTTGGTAAGTATTGATGCAAACTATGATTTGTGTTCATTGTGGATCCAAAGAGATAGATTTGCCCTTTGGCGATTGTGCTTGATGACAATGGACATTCTCATTTCCTTCCCCTGTTTTTTTCTTAGTATGGAAACCTAACCCTTGCTGAAGACACAGTCGTTGGGTCCACCATCTTAACCATCCAGGCCACAGATGCTGATGAGCCATTTACTGGGAGTTCTAAAATCCTGTATCGTATTATACAGGGAGACAGTGACAGGCGACTGGGGGTTGACACAGATCCCCAAACCAATGCTGGATATGTTATAATTAAAAAGGTAAAGAACCTCTTTAATGGATTTTTTTTTCTTTTTTATAAAGCACGTTTCTTATGACAGTGCAAGGATCGATAAGCAGAGGTAGTGCATTAGCTGTTACCTTTCAGGTGTGGTGAGGGCCTCCTAGAGCACTCACTCATTCTCATCCTCCTGAAAGACAGGAGGCCAGGATTCTCGTTCTGGGTCTGTTGCTAACTGAGCAAGTAACCTTTGTGGAGGGAGGTAGGGTTGCCATATAAAATACGTAAAACATAGGATGAACGATTTTTTTAGAAAAAGTATGTCCCATGCAATATTTGGGACATACTTCTACTAAAAGAACTGTTTGTTGTTTACCTCAAGTTCAAATTTAACTAGGTGTTCTGTATTTTTATTTGTTAAATCTTGGGAGTGGGGAGGTTTTGCTGAGGGTTTTACCTCTCCTTTTGCAAATGTGGGGCATTAGACTGGATGAGCCCTCTGAGCCCTTAAGGCTGTAGACCCTCTAATGTGTCAGCCATAGACTCTTCTTAAATAATGACTCCTTTCAAGGTTTAAAAGACTTACCCTTTCCTCCTATCCTTCCTGCCAACCCCCTACTTTCATCTTTTATGATATTGCTAAGCTCACTGGCTCTCACGTTATCTTATCTTCTGTAAGCACTAGGAAGTCTAGAGCCAAAGTCTTGATTACTATAGTCCCTGCTTCTTTGTGCAGGATCTTTCTATCTTCCCTCAATCTTCTCCCACCCCCTACTGTATACACCTAAATCTTGACCTTTTTCTCCATGGCTGCCTCATGTATGCTTTCGAGCATGTAAATGGTTTACCAGATGACTCAATAGGAAGCATCACTCAATGTCATCTGACATATCCGGAATTATAAGGGGTCAGAGTTATAGCAATAGTGGGTCAGTAGGCATGGTTGGGTGTCGATGGTTTATGGTGCAGTGCGCTAGAGGCTGCAAAAAAGGCTCAGGAGGAAAGTTTTAGATCAGAATCAAGGAAAGCTGAAGAGGGAGACAAAGGAGAATAATTTCACAGAGGATGGATAGAAGCATGGGGATAAAAGCGCTAGTGCCAAAGTGAGCCTGGGGGCAGAGTGTCGCGATTCTGATCCTATTATTACCGTGTGCTTCACCTCCAACGAAGGGCCTCATGGGGCTCCAGCAGTGAGGTGTGTGTGAGGACCAACTGAAACCATCCTGTGTTCCAACCAGGATCCTGTGTCAGTCTGACATTTGGAAAAGGACTGGGGACGACTCCCCCCACCCTGTTCATGGCTGTCTGTATGGAGAAGAAGAATTGCAGAAGGCTCAGATAAAGGAAAGGGCAGTTTTCAGAGTTGGCAGTGGGTGGTCCAAGCAGCAGGCTGGATCCTTTCCCAGTAGGAGGGGACAGACAGCTCCCAGTTTCTCCCAGGACCAGAGCTCACTAGCCATCTAAGACAAGATAGAGACCTGCCCATCTCGGTACGAACTATTCCCACATGTCAGCGTTTTCTCGTGGTGGCTTGTTGTGAGCCAACTTGTTAATTTGACCATTTGTGGCTAATGGGCACCTTTAGGGAAATGTTGGTGAGCCCGAATGATTAGTGGTGGGTGTGAGCTGTGAGTAGCCTTCCACACAACCTTGACATGAGGAGGTATGTTACAATCCAGCAGGCTTCTGACCAAAATCCTTGTCACATCCTTATTGTTTTGTGGTTGTATTCCTAGTGTCTGGAATGCTGCCTGGCATATAGGAGAGTTTGATAAGTATTGGTTGGCTGAATAAATAATTGAATTCTGTCCTATACACAGTTATTAACAGACAGGCACAAAAACAGTCATCCAACTTGTGCTTTAGGCCTGTGAAGTCCTAGCTCTCTGTCCTTCGGGCACAAAGGATTTGTCTGACTGTCCAAAGAAAAGGGATCCGAGACAGAGACAGAACAGAACTGGAGTACTAGAACTCTGAAGGGTATAGGCTGCTGGACTAGCCAGATGCTCACACTCTCGTTCATGTGACGACTGAGAGATTATAGTATATTTTAAACCAAACCGCATGTCTTGGATACCACTAATAGCACCACCTTCCTCTCTTTGTAAGATCACTCTGCTAATTAACAAACCTTCTAGTGCTGCTTGAGCTAGTTGTAGCTCAAGGCCTGCAGTAGCGGTCTCTGGAGTGTGCATCTCTGATTAAGATCTCTTCAACGCTCAGCAACAACTGACCCTAAGGTGTGGATTCTTGATTAGGATACACCAAATGTTAACCAGCCGCCCTTAGGACGTCTGTATTCACTATGACAGATGCATGTATTTATACTGTTTTTAGTGTTTTAAATAAATTAGACTCTATAATGTGGTTACTTGTGTATGACTTAGGCTTCTAATTCCTTACGCAATTAAGCTGCTAGGGGACTACCACTGCTTTTGAACCATTGTGTTAATCATTTTTTAATGTTTAAAACTAGTGTAAAAGAAAAAAACACATGGGGCACCTGGGTGGCTCAGTCGGTAAGCGTCTGCCTTCGGCTCAGGTCATGATCCCAGGGTCCTGGGATCGAGTCCCGCATCGGGCTCCCTGCTCGGTGGGAAGCCTGCTTCTCCCTCTCCCACTCCCCCTGCTTGTGTTCCCTCTCTCACTGTGTCTCTCTCTGTCAAATAAGTAAATAAAATCTTTAAAAAAAAACACATAACATGGAATCTATCCTCTTACATTTTATAGTGTACCTTCTCTATATGCCCACTGTTGTAGAGCATCTCTAGATCTCTTTTGCTTGCAAGAATGAAACTCTATGTTCCTTGAACAGCAGCTCCCCCTTTCCCCCACCATCCAGCCCCTGGTGACCACCATTCTGCTTTTTCATTTCTGTAAGTTTGACTCTTCCAGGTAGCTCAAAGAAGTGAAGGCAAACATAATTTTTCCTTCTGTGACTGGCTTTGCTTAATGTCCTCAAGTTTCTTCCATGCTGTAGCATATGGCAGGATTTTCTTCTCTTTTAAAAGGCTGTATAATTTTCCATTGTGTGTATATACCACATTTTCCTTATCCATTCATTTGTCAGTTGACATTTTGGTCGTGTTCACCTCTTGGCTACCGGGATTAATGCTGCATGATCATGGGAGAGCAAATACTATGTTTTCAGTTCTTTGGGGTAAATAGTCAGGAGTGGATTGCTGGATGATATAAGTTGTTCTAGTTTTCAGTTTTTTGAGGAACCTCCAGGCTGTTTTCCACAGCAGCCGTAGCATTTTACATTCCCACAAACAGTGCGTTAGGTTTCCAGTTTCTCCACATCCTCGTCAGCACTTGTTTCTTAAGTTTGATGATGGCCATCCTAACAGGTGTGGTTTTGATTTGCATTTCATTGATGAGTAGTGATGTTGAGCATCTTTTAATATATCTGTTGGCTAGTTGTATGTCTTCTTTGGAGAAATGTCTCTTCAGGTCCTTTGCCTAGTCATTTCTAGGTAAAAATCAGGTCATTTTGGTTTTTTATGCCAGTGAATGCAGGAGTTTCTTTTTAATACGATGCATATCACCTCTCATCAGATACATGGTTGGTAAAATAATCTCTCCCATTCTGTAGGTTGCCTTTTCATGCTGCTGCTGATTTCCCTTGCTCTGCCGAAGCTTTTCAGTTTGATGTAACCCCACTGGTGTAGTTTTGCTTTACAGCCTGTGCTTTTGGTGTCCTACCCAGAAACTAAGTTTCTTAGTCACCTTTCTATCAGCAACTGTTCACCTGAATTACAAATGTGCTAATTGTGGGCAGATTTGGCCTAGGAAGCCCTATTGCCTGACTGTAGTCCGCTTCACTTTACAGAGCATGTCTGCATCCCTTCTTCTTAGTGCCCCACCCTGACCCCAGCCAAGGCACAGCTAAGCTCCACTGTACAGGTGAGGTTCGGGTCTCCCAGCCATGGCAGAGCTGGGAACTTGACCCCAGGCTTCTGGCTCCTCTAACCAGAAACCAGAAACCATGAGGGAAATGGTTTCTATTGAGGCCTGGTGTTGCCACCTACTAGCCCTGTGACCTTGACCATACGGGGTCAGATCTCAAAGCTTCAGTTCTCTCATCTGTAAAAATAGGCAAAATGGTGGCACCTTCTTGGATGCCGGAGGATTAAACGCGAAAATACATATATAGCTCTTAGCCCAGCACCCGGCACACAGTAAACTTAATAAATGTCCAGGGTTATTTGAATTCTGATTAATTTGAGCTAATTTAGCATCTTTCATTTCTGACACTACATGTGTGCGTTTTCCACACCAAGCAGTTCTTTGACACCGGCCTGAAGGCCTACGATTTAACTCAATTCTGGGACTACCTACCTGGAGATAGCACAGACTCCACAGGCTAAGGGCTCAGTCCCAAGAGACTGCCCCTTCTTCGGAAGCCAATTGCAAATCGCAGGTTGTCACCTGTACTTTGGAGTGACTGGCTGTAAGTTGGCTCTGTGACTCCCTCCTTGGGTCCCACCACTTGCTAAAATAGCTCACAGAACTCAGAGAAACATGGACATTGACTAGTTTATTGTATCATGGATATGATAAAGGACACAGGGGGACAGCCACATGAAAAGAACCAGAGGGCAAGGTCTGGAAAGTTTCCCCAGTGCAGGAGCTTCTGCCTACTCTTGAGTTGGGGTGCCCCATTCTCCCAGAACATGGGATATGTTCACCAACCTGGAAGCTCTCTGAACTTGTGGGATTTTTATCGAGGCTTCATCATAAAGACAGGGTTGATCATTAACTCAATCTCTAGCTTTCTCTTCCTTTCCTGGGAGGTGGAGGTGGGGCCAGAAGTGTTTGATCTTTCCGGTGAGCAGCCTCCATCCCGTAGCAACCCAGGAGCCCATCAAGAATGGCTTCATTAGAACAAAAGGTATTCCTCTCACCCAAGAAATTCCAAGGAATTTAGGAGCTCAGTGTCAGGAACCAGGGGCAGAGAACAACATATATTTTTTCTATTCTTTCACGTGCCAACGTGATGCTGAGGATTAAACAAGTTTTGGAAATGCTGTCCTCCTCAATATTTATTGCCGCCCAAAACTCTGGCCAGTTGTGCAATAGAACATGACAGTCTTGGGGCCAAGTGGGTATCAGGAGCCGCAAGTCTATTCCTTTGAGTCCTGCCTGGCTTATTGATAATTCCCCTTGGGATCCCCTTTTTGAAATTTGGGGTTTTGTTTCAGCTTTAATTTCTTTAAATGCAAACATTGTCACTTCTCTATCATGGCTGGTCTTTTTGAATTCTCAGTCCTTGACCTGTTTTTAACTAGCTTAAGTGTCATTTGGAAAAGTAATGCACACACCTTTTTCCTCGTCACTGATCACTGGTGACAATGTTACATATCCCCAGTCTGCACTCCTCTCCCTCAGCTTTTCTATCTTTGCCTCCAGGTTGAATCTAAATCACTGGGTTTGATTTAACTCAAGGAGTTGTGTGAAGAGGAGAGGTGGCCTGAGCATGTTTTGTGAGCTCATTTGATGACTGTATCTCATCAGATGGGACCCATGACCATCCCAGGAGGCCACGATAGGTCTCTTGACTTGGCCTTGCAGGCACGTCCCCGTGTTATGAATGACGATACACAGGGTTTGACAAGGCTTCTCCTTGATTAAGTTCTGCTGATGATCATTTGCTAATTTAGCATCTTTCATTTCTGATTTTTTCCCTGGAAGATCTGGCTCAGTGTTTTTCCTGGTGTGAAAGTTAAGCACTCTGATCAATGGCAGGCTGCTTCTTTCTCCTTTGTTCTTCCATTCAGTATATGTTTAAGGAGCACTGACACCCTCTCCTAACTGGTCTCCCAGTCGGGGATGGGTACCCCTCATGTGGCTGCTCCCAGAGTTATTTTCCTAAAACACAAATCTGACCACATCAGTTCTTGTGCCTTGTGCCTCCCTTTGCTCCTCAAGGATGACATTCCAGCTCCTTAGCTGGATGCACGGTCTTCTCTGTCATCTATTTCTACTCTCAGCCTCACGCATTCTATCTTGATGACACAGGCTGCTTCCCATTTGCAGACATAGTGTCTCATTTCTTTATCACCCACCTCTGGGGGCCACAGTGATGGGAAGGGAAAACCAGGGAGGTTCCTGAAGATCTGTTTGGTGTGAGGATGGGATGCACCTCTTCTGTCTGAGCACCCAGAGAGTGGAGCTGACTGCCTGAGCCTGGGCTTGGCTGGACCAGCAAGGAGCAGAGAGTGCATCCTTTGCCCACAGTGTAGGCTTGCTCTGGGGGCTGCTGTCTTTCTGTTCCAACTACCAGGCTTTCTTGGTTTGATGTCCCTGCCTTCATTCCCTGAGATGAAGAGTGGGTCTCTGGGAATCAAAAGCTCCTTGCATCCCACCCCCAGGTAAGGAGACCTATCAGACCACTTGGTGGTGATCAAAATGTCATCATGGGGCCATGGCCTGTAGACAGTGGGTGCTTAACTCTGTGAGCAACCTCTTTTCTACATCTCATCTGGCTTACAAAATTTTATATCCTTTATATTATATCCTGTCCATTGCTTCTTATTTCCTATCTCCAATGGCCTGGAATCTTCATACATAATTCTTTCTCGTCCATATGAACAACCTTTCTATTGTACTTTCTATTGAACTAGAAATTGGGTTGTGATGTTGTGTGTGTTTGTGTGTGCATGGAGGAGAGGGGTTTCTGGAGAGTGGGAATTTTCTCCAGAATCTCTTTTCCATTGGACCTCTCAAGGGCCCACGAAGACGGAGTCTTTCTCATCTTTCTATTTCTTGACTGATACACAATGGATACTGTGTGCCAAGGAAGAGAGAAGCAAAGATGAGTATAACACAGAGAGCTTATGCTTAGTAAGGATCTAAAATAGATAACCAAACAATTAGAGTCTTGAGTCAGAAACTAAGAGATTATAGAGGACATGGAGCTTGTCCATTTGGAGATAGCCGATGGGGTCAGATGTAGAGAGGAGAGTATTGAGCCAGCTCCTGCCTGAGTGGGAGAACTTTTTCAGATGTTAGGGAAGGGCAGGCCAAGCTAATGCAATCATGTGTCAAATCCTCCATGAGTTTTTCTGTTCATGAATGGATATTACCATTTTTGTTCAACTGATGAGAAACTGATATAAACTAAAGTTAAAAGACTGACAGCTCACCAAGAGATCCTGGGTCTTACAGGCCTGGGAGAGTGAATCAAATAATGTAGCGTCCATAATCCAAAATCCATAATGTACCTTTTCGTTCATTCGTTCCTTTGTTTTTGAGGCCCTGGGTACCATTGAAACCGTGACTGTATACTCTCCCTGGGAAAAAAACTCACATGTGCGCATAATATAAATATTTAGATTTTGGTTTCTAGGGCTTCACGGATTCCCAGAAGCCTTTTAATCCCAGATAAGAAGCCCAACTTTAGGGGCTATTCCTCTTCAGCAGGCCTTTCGGACTAGGATTTTTTTCCCCTCATAGAATCATGGACTCAATGTCTTGAGAGAGACCTTAAAAGTCACATAAAACCAGTTGCTGAAATGCTACGGAAGTCCTTTCTATGCTAGCCTGTCACACGTTGTTTAAGCCTGTTCTTGAAAGGTACCAGAGTTGGGAATTACTGTTTTTTGAAGCTACTCCTTCTGTCTTGGGTAGCCCTGTTAGATTCTTCCTCATACTACACTCAAGTTGGTTTCTTGATTCTTGATTCCTGGCTCTGTCCAGCATGGTCTGTCACAAGAGCAGATCCTCTATCTTTCAATTTTCTTTGCTAACCTCTCCTACCCTTTATGCAGGTAAGTTCTTTATTTTGGGGTTTGGATTCTGAGGTCCCTGGGAAATCATTCTCTATACAATGTGGATGTTTGTATATAAGCCTTTCCCTAGCTGTCTTCTGAGAATTTTCTTGAGAGAACTAGTAAGTTTCTGCTCGATGAATGAAGTATCCCAGGGTTACATAAATTTAAGGGATGCTGCATTAATTTCCTCTTCTAGGAGAGTCATAATGCAAATAGCATATTGAAAACTCTGATAAGTCCTGCAGCAGAGACTTTGGTTCTGTTATCATTCTGATAAGTAGATTTTTGTTGACACCAAATTGGGAACTGCTGCTCTGTAAGAAAGTATTTATTTATTTATAGAGAAAGAGAGAGAGTGTATGGGGGAAGGGGCAAAGAGAGAGGGAGAGAATCTTAAGCAGGCTCCATGCCCAACATGGGGCTCAATCTCACAACCCTGAGATCATGACCTGAGCTGAAATCAAGAGTTGGACACTTAACTGACTGAGCCACCCAAGCGCCCCTGTAAGAACGTTTTTAAAGGACCATTGGGAATGAATCTTTTAAGGGAGCCAATCATCCCCCAAATTAATTTTTCCTCTTTTTTTCTCCCCCTACACAGCCTCTTGATTTTGAAACAACAGCCATTCACGATATTGTGTTCCAAGCGGAAAATCCTGAGCCTCTGGTGTCTGGTGTAAATTACAACGCCAACTCTTCTGCCAAGTTCAGACTTATTGTGACAGATGTGAATGAAGTACCCAAATTTTCCGAGCATGTATACCAAGCAAAAGTCAGTGAAGATGTGGCTATAGGCACTAAAGTGGGCAATGTTACTGCCAGGGATCCGGAAAATCTGGATATAAGGTAGAGGAGAGCAGTACTGGGTAGGCCTAGCTGTGCTGGGACCATGGCCAATGAGGAGGAGGAAGGGCTGGGAGGGATAGAGAAGCTGGTCTGACTCCAGGGCTCTCTTCTAAGAAAGCAGCCAGTGATCTGAAGCTGTAGCCCAGGGCACAGGGTGGACATGACCTTGGTTCCAACAGTCGTCAGTACCCTGGGGCCATCAGTGAGAAATCAGGCTTAGGCAGGTGGGAAGCATGTCAGCTTCCATCCCAGCCCACTCACCACAAATCCCAGCTGAGGGCTGGTGAGTTCAGGAGATGGGGTCCAGAGACTGGGCTACCTAAAGCCAGGCTCTGTGTCTGTACCAGCCATGGGAGCCAGGGTTTGGGGGAGAGTTGCTATCCAACCCCTAAGGTGGACTGAAGTTCTTTCTAGACAGAGAGAATGAAGCAAAAGCCCAACTGGACAGACTCACCCACTTGATAGGGTTAAGGGAATCTTCTGGATGTAGAGTGCCTACCTTCTTTGGCTCTCCAGACAACAGGTCTGGGGTGACAAGACTCATTCCAGAGCCCACCCCTGGAGAGGCTAGTGCTCAGGCTGGGGTGGTTAAACAAAATGTGCAAATCTTTCCATCTTAGCAATTCTCAATCATTTTTTCCCCAGTGCAATAGGACCTACACAGATTTGTCTTAAACATGTGCAATGATAATTTGCCCAAGATATATATATGTTGTGTATACATCAATATCTATAACCTCTTTAAGACTGTATAGTTAATAAGCACATAGATAGGATTTGAGCCCAGATATTTTGCTTCTGTTTTATCACATTGGCATTACTGTCTGTGGCATAATGAATACTTCAGCTTAAACCATTGGCTTAACCCATTGCATATGGTTATGAATGACAATTCCTTAAATTTCTCAGAACACTTCAGGGGAGTCTTGCCTCCCAGTGAGCTGTCATTTAGGCATTTGAAATCACCTCTAAGACCTTTTTCTTTGTCAGGGAGTAAAGTTCCCACCTATTGTTTCATGTCCCATAAAGGCAAAGGGAAGAGAGAAACAACAGTGGGGGCTACGCTGTGTGATTTAGGGTAGATACTACTGTATACATCAGAGTCACAAAGTATGTTGGGGCACAAAATGTTTATAAGTTACAACCATTTACTGTTTAACAAATGCTTCTGTCTTCTCCATGAGAATGCTATAAAAATCATCAATGACAAGTAAATAAAAATTTGAGTTTATGAGTGGGCAAAACAAAAACATTCAAGAAAAGTTCTTGGATCGAGGAAAAGGTATACCGAAAATGCTATTAAATTGAAATCAGGAAGATGAGGAAGAAGACAGAGAAAGGGAGTGTCCTGTAAAAAGACAAATGAAAAGAGTGTTTCAAGAATGAGGAATAATCAATCAATAGTTCTGATGCTAGTAATAAGTCAGTTAAGAATTAAGGATGACTCCCAAGTTTTTGGCCTGAGTTCATTGTTTTTCTCTCAGTTCGGCAAACTCATAATCCATCAGCACCCAGTGGTCCTTTAAAAAAGTATATCAGATCATAGGACTCCTCCAAAAACCCTCCAAAGAGTTCCCATCTTACTCAGAATGAAATCCCAAGTACATAGGATTTCTTCTTCATCACCCGTACACACAGCCTAGCAGTGCTTGACATATAGAGCATACTAATATTATGAAAAAACTTAATTTGATGAAAGAACACATCCTGACTTTTTAATCATTCTCTTGCTTCTGGACATGTAGGTTGTTTCCAGTATTTTTTTTAATTGTATAAAATATTTTGAATCTATGTATGAATGTAATTCTTTTCTAACTTCAATTAAATTGTTTTTTATTTGGGGACAATTTCCGGAGGTGGTATTCTGTGGTCTGGAGACATGGACATCCTTATGGCTATGTTGTATTCCTTCCCAAGGGCTGCACTAATTGGTTTTCTGGTGGTTCTAGTCTTATCCCAGATTCATCTCTCATACACCTGCCAGTGAGTTCCACTGAAAACACAAATATGACTAGAACACCTTCCTGCTTAACAGCATTCTGTTGCTGCCCATTGCTTCCAATGATCTGGCTCTTTCCACCTCCCTGGCTTCATCTTTTGCCATCCACTGCTTCCCATTTTTATCCCAACACGGCTGGAATGCCCTACTCCCCCACACCACCGGGCTAGTCCTTGGCCTCTTCTGCACTAGCTCACACAGTTGCTCCTTCTTGAAGCATTCTTTTTCTTGCCTTAGTTAACATCTTCTGCTTCAGAAAGACTTCTCTGGGATACCAGGGCCCTTTTCATTGTATTTGCCACATTTTATTGGAACTATCTATTTCTGTGTCTGTCTCTTCCACTGGCCTAAGAGCCCCCCCGCCTTTTTCGGTAATCTGCGCTCTTGTTCTAATGTGCGCTATTTGCTAAGCACTCAGCAGATGTTTGTAGAATGAACAATTAATTCACTGTGCCACGAGTAGCCTCTGAGTATCCACCCATTCACCTAACATCTCCACCCCTGGGTGTCCAAGTTTTCTTGGAGGGAGTGGTTGGCTAATCAGTTTTCAAAGATGCTTCCAGGTTGTTTTAATTGGAATCCTTTGATTTCCAGGAAAGTTTAACTTTTTTCCTCCGGAGTTTGTGACTATACCTTTTTTAATAAAACAAACATAACTACGACTCTGTAAGGATGCGCAAATCCTCCTTTTGAAGGTGGACGGTATGCAAGTAAAGCATTAATAATATAAAATAATGATCCTTTAAATATGCTGTAAGGGATATGCAAGGGATGAGGCTGATAGAACAGCATAATGATCTTAAACTATCTTCGCATCTTCTCACAGAGTAATGTGGGTTTTCTTTTGCTCCTTTCACCTCATGAAGTTATTCCCTGAGAGACAATGGCAGAGGCTGGCTTAAAATTGACCCCGTCATGGGTGAAATCTCTACTGTGGCTCGGCTCGACAGGGAAGCTGAGAGTGTGTATCGGGTGCAAGTGGTGGCCACTGAAATAGGTGAGGAAAAAAAATAACAAATGATTAGGGGCTACACCGATAGACATGGGAGGGAAGGTGGGAGGTGGGTGGGAAGGTTCACTGGATCCGATTGTCAGAATATCTTCTAGTGGAAGGATGATAAAGGCACCGAAGGGGAGGGAAGTGCTCACACCTTTCTGGTTTGGTGCAAGGTGGGATCCACCGGCATCTCTCGGGCAAGGGTGCACCTGCAGGCTGGCCAGGCTGCAGGGGCGCTACTTCTGCTTGCTCTTGTTTCTTGTGGGGGCTACAGCTTCGGGGAAGGTTCCTGCATCTCTGCTGAACTACATCCCCTTCCTCCAAAGCGGTTGTGGGTTTCTCCTGAGAGCAGGGCCAAACCACTGCCCTGCTGACCTAGGCCATGACTTGCATCTTTAGCCTTAAATTGCAGTGGCTCAGGGCTGATCCATTCTGAAACAGAAAATGTTTTATGCCATGTTCTCAACTTCCATATGTGCCAGAATCACCTGGGAGCTTGTTCAATCAGATATAAAGGGTTCATCTCTGGAGACTCTGATTCACTAGGTTTGGGTGGCCCTGGGTATCTCTGTTTTGCTGAAATCGGGTGAGCTTTTGAAAGGAAAGACTTATTATATAGATAAGCCAAGGATGTTTGAATCATCCTATATAATCCTTGCATCCCACTTAATCTGGTCGTGGTGATATATATTCCTCTCTGACTTTGAATGTGGAGTTCCAGGGAACTTGAAAAATTAAAATAAACATACACACTTAGGAATAGTATGCTTACCAGTGATAAGGCTGGTGATTAAAACATTAGGTTTCTTTGCATTTAAATGGAATTTTCCAACTTAGTGTAGAAATTCTGTTGATCTTACGTGGGTTGAAGCCTCTAATTAAGTAGCAAATACATCTGCCCGGTTTACCGGAAAATGAGGATGGAACAAATTAGGACTAAATAAATACAGTTTTAGACCAAAAAAATAAACTTCTAAATGTGAGGCCCAGGAATTGGGAGGCGGAATGGGGAACATTCCAGTGGATGGGAATCATAAAAATGGTCCCTGCATGTGAAAGGATTAAGAAAAACAAAAGTGCCACAGTCAAGTTAAGCCAATGAGGGTAGAAATGCTGGAGTCTGTGCCAAATTTGGAACAGTTGTGTGCAAGCAGACATGCCTTGCTGAGGCGGGTCAGGGACTCGCTCTCTCCCTTGCTTGTTTCCAGAGGAGCACATTCCAATATCACATTGTATACATTGAACTCTTGATTTAAAAGCTCCCGATTCATCAGTAGGAAGTTTCTGGCTGAGCCTTTATGCCTCACATTCCACTACAACATACTGTGGAGATCAACACTTCACTTTGGATGTGTCCTAGAGACCTCTCACATTTTAGAAGTTCCATGAATCAAAACCAGGATCCCAAGCCCTGTTCCCTTTGTTGGCTCTGGAACGATGCAGATAGATGAAATGACTTCAAGAGCACCGTGGCTTTTCCTCCTTTGGTTATGCGTTGTCAGGGCCATGGAAGACAGTTGAAAAGCAAAGCAAGAGGACAAGGTTCACTGGAATTAAAGCAAGATGGGGTCAGAAACTGTGGAACTGGTATCTGATTGACGTCAGGGAGAATGAGAAGAGTCAGTGTTTACATTGCACTGGCAGCCCTGGTTTTCAGCACTTAGTGTAATAACTTAATCTTCATACAACACTCTAGGTAGGTGCTATTCTTGACCATATTTTATGGATGAGGAAGTCAAGGCACTGAGAAGTTAAGTAACTTGCTCACAATCACACAGCTACCATCTGTTAAGGCTACAGAGTTTAAATCTTTCACCGTTACATCATAGTAAATAATGTTTGTGCAGCCCTTTACTATTTTCAACAAACACTACGTGTGGGATCCTCACAAAGTCACATATCTTATAGCTGAAAAAATGATGCGTAGAAAACTTAACAAATGTGCCTAGGTCAGTGTTGAAGAGAAATTGTGGGCTCTAGAGTCAGACTTCCTGGGGTGGAAGCCTTTCTACTGCTGTGTGACCGTGGGATGTCACACAACTTCTCTGAACCTCAGTCTTGTCATCAGTAAATGCACATCGGAGTTGTTTTGAAGTAATATATACCCAAAGCAATCTATGCATTCAGTGCAATCCCTGATCAAAATAACACCAGCATTTTTCACAGAGCTAGAACAAACAATCCTAAAATTTGTATGGAACCACAAAAGACCCCAAATAGCCAAAGCAATCCTGAAAAAGAACAACAAAACTGAAGGCATCTTGATTCTGGACTTCAAGCTCTATTACAAAGCTGTAATCATCAAGACAGTATGGTACTGGCCCAAAAACAGACACGTAGATCAATGGAACAGAATAGAGAACCCAGAAATGGACCTTCAACTGTATGGTCAACTAATCTTCAACAAAGCAGGAAAGAATATCCAGTGTGAAAAAGACAGTGTCTTCAACAAATGGTGCTGGGAAAACTGGACAGCCACATGCAGAAGAATGAAACTGGACCACTTTCTTACATCATACACAAAAACAAATTCAAAAGGGATGGAAGACCTAAATGTGAGACAGGAAACCATCAAAATCCTAGAGGAGAACACAGGCAGCAACCTCTTTGACATCGGCCGCAGCAACTTCTTACTAGACACGTCTTTGGAGGCAAGGGAAAGAAAAGCAAAAGAGAACTACTGGGACTTCATCAAGATAAAAAGCTTCTGCACTATAGCAGCAATGTCCACAATAGCCAAACTGTGGAAAGAGCCAAGATGTCCATCGATAGATGAATGGATAAAGAAGATGTGGTGTATATACACAATGGAATATTATGCAGCCATCAAAAGGAATGAGATCTTGCCATTTGCAATGACGTGGATGGAACTGGAGGGTGTTATGCTGAGTGAAATAAGTCAATCAAAGAAAGACATGTATCATATGACCTCACTGATATGAGGAATTCTTAATCTCAGGAAACAAACTGAGGGTTGCTGGAGTGGTGGGGGGTGGGAGGGATGGGGTGGCTGGGTGATAGACATTGGGGAGGGTATGTGCTATGGTGAGCGCTGTGAATTGTGCAAGACTGTTGAATCACAGATCTGTACTTCTGAAACAATGCAATATATGTTAAGAAAAAAAAAAGAAGAAGAAGATAGCAGGAGGGGAAGAATGAAGGGGAGTAAGTCGGAGGGGGAGACGAACCATGAGAGACGATGGACTCTGAAAAACAAACTGAGGGTTCTAGAGGGGAGGGGGGTGGGGGGTTGGGTTAGCCTGGTGATGGGTATTAAAGAGGGCACGTTCTGTGTGGAGCACTGGGTGTTATGCACAAACAATGAATCATGGAACACTACATCAAAAACTAATGATGTAATGTATGGTGATTAACATAACAATAAAAAATTAAAAAAAAAGCTTCTGCGCATTGAAGGAAACAACAAAACTAAAAGGCAACCTACAGAGTGGGTGGAGATATTCGTAAATGACATATTGGATAAAGGGCTAGTATCCAGAATCTATAAAGAACTCATCAAAATCAATTGCAATTGCACTACTAGGTATTTATCCAAAGGATACACAAGTGCTGATTCAAAGGGACACATGGACCCAAATAATAAATAATCCAGTCATGAAATAGGCAGAAGACATGAACAGACATTCTTCCAAAGAAGACACACAAATGACTAACAGACACCTGAAAAGACGCTCCACATCACTCGGCATCAGGGAAATACAAATCAAAACCACAACGCGATACCACCTCACACCTATCAGAATGGCTAAAATGAACAACTCAGAAAACAACAGGTATTGGTGAGGATGCGGAGAAAAGGGAGCCTTTTTGCACTGTTGGTGGGGATGCAAACTGGTGAAGCCACTCTGGAAAACAGTATGGAGGGTCCTCAAAAAGTTAGAAATAGAACTTCCCTATGACCTAGCAATTGCACTACTAGGTGTTTATCCAAAGGATATACAAGTACTGATTCAAAGGGGCACCTGCACCCTGATGTTTATAGCAGCAGTGTCCACAATAGCCAAATTATGGAAAGAACCAAGATGTCCATCAACAGATGAATGGATAAAGAAGATGTGGTATACATATATACAACGGAATATCACTCAGCCATCAAAAAGAATGAATTCGTGCCATTTGCAACGACATGGATGAAACTAGAGGGTATTATGCTAAGTGAAATACGTTAGTCAAAGACATGTATCATATGACTTTCCTCATATGTGGAATTTAAGAAACAAAGCAGATGAACATAGGGGAAGGGAAGGAAAAGCAAAATAAGTTAAAACAGAGAGGGAAGCAAACCATAAAAGACTCTTAACTATAGGAAACAAACTGGGGGTTGCTGGAAGGGAGGTGGGGGGGATGGGCTAAATGGGTGACAGGCGTTAAAGAGAGCACTAGTTGGGATAAGCACTGGGTGTTGAATGTAACTGATGAACCACTAAATTCTACTCCTGAAATCAATACTACACTATCTGTTAACTAACTTGAATTTAAATAAAAAAAATTAGCACATAAATCTTGGTTATTATTATTATCACTGAGACTTTTTAACCAGGAAATGAAACCAGGTCTGATTCTAAAATCTTGCTATCTTTCTACTACCTCAGTATACCCAACTGCTTGAACTGTGTGTGTGTGTATTTTTTTTTTTTTAAGAAAAAGAAGTATCTTTTTCCCATTAAGAGGAAAATGAGAGAGCTGATACCATGTGTCAATCCCTCACTGCCTTAGGTGGCTCCTCCCTGAGCTCCGTAGCCAGTTTCCACCTGACCCTCTTGGATGTGAACGACAACCCCCCCCGGCTAGCCAAGGACAACTCAGGCTTGTTTCTGTGCCATCCCCTCCAAACAACCGGAAGTGTCGTTTTCGAGGCCACTGATGATGACCAGCAGTCATTTCGGGGTCCACAGTTTGAATTTTCTCTTGGCAGTGAAATCTTACAAAAGAACTGGCAAGTTTCCAAAATCAATGGTAAGTTGTCAAAAGTACATCGAACAAGCACTGATCAATGATTAAAATTAGTTTTTATTTGCCTTTCTTCCATGCTGCAGGTACATACTGTGAAAGAAAACTTGTAGAGAGGAGCTCTTCAGAGGGAAGAAAGCCCTGGGCTTTGGAAGGAGGAAAGATTAACACACAGCATCCCCCTTAGTGTACATTGGACAACTGGATAATTGAACAATTTGAACAGCATTTACAAAATTTCCAATGGCAGCTGAGAAACAGATTTCGTAACGGTTCTTAAAAACAGCTTCATTGAAATAACAACTGTCATCCAATAAACAGCACATATTTAAAGTGTATAATTTCATAAAAATTGATAAATGTAGATATCATTGAAGCCATCAGCACAATAAGAACAAGAACACTTTCACCACCCCCCAAGATTTTTCATGCTTCAGTTGCAAATCTCATTTTCCACCCCGCCCTTCCCATCCTCCACCCCCCATCCTCAGGTAACCACTGATCTGCTTTCTGTCACTATAGATTAGTTTGCATTTTCAAGAATTTTATCTAGATACAGTAATACAGTATGTATTCTTTTTTGTCTGGCTATTTTCACCTAGCATCAAGTAAAGCTGCTATAAGCATTTGTGAACAAGAATTTTGTAGGAGCATACGTTTTCATTTTTCTTGGTTGAATCTCTAGCAGTAGAATGGTTGGGCCATATGGTAGTTGCATGGTTAAATTTTTAAGAAAATGGCAAATTGTTTTCCAGTTTCTAACATTTTCCATTCCCATGGGCACATGAGGAGTCTAGTTGCTCAACGTTCTCCCCAACACTTGCTATGTACAGTCTTTTTGATTTTGGGCATTCTAGTGAGAGTGCAGTAACATTTCATTTTGGTTTTAATTTATGTTTCCCTAAAGACTAATGGTGTTGAGTATCTTTCTGTGTGCTTATTTGCCACCCATGTATCTTCACTGGCGAAGCGTCTGGTCAAATTTTGTGCCCATTTGAAAAATTTGGCTGTTTGGTTTCCATTGTTGACTCCTAGCATTCTTTCTATAGCCAAGGTACAAACTCTTTGTCAGATAATATGTTTTTGGTTTTTTTTTTAAGATTTTATTTATTTTATTTCAGAAAGAGAGAGTGAGGGGGAGGGGGGGGGAGAGTGGGAGAGGGAGAAGCAGGCTCCCAGCTGAACAGGAAGCCTGATGCGGGACTCGATCCCAGGACCCAAGGATCATGACCTGAGCCAAAGGCAGACACTTAAGGACTGAGCCCCCAGGGACAGCTGTCCCTGTCAGATAAAATGTTAACAGATACTTCCTCAAGGACATGGCTTGCATTTTCATTTTGTAACAGCACCTTTTGAAGAACAAATTTAAAATTTTTTATGGTATCTGATTTATTGATTTTTAAATGTTATGTAATTTGTGACTTTTTTGGTGTAATATTTAAGAAATTTTTGCCAAATCCAAGGTTACTAAAATTTTCTAATTTTTTTCCCCCTAAAGGTTTTATAGTGTCGGCTTTTACATTTAGCTCCATGGTCTGTTTCAAGTTAATTTTTTTTAAAAAAAATTTATTTATTTATTGTTTTTAGAGAGAGAGAGAGAGAAAACTCGGAGGGGGGAGGGGCAGAGGGAGAGAGAGAGAGAATCTCAAGCAGACTCCTCACTGAGCATGGAGCCCGCCATGGGGCTGGATCTCATGACCCTGAGATCATGACCTAAGCCGAAATCAATAGTCAGATGTTTAACTGACTGAGCCACCCCAGCGCCCTTCAAGTGAATTTTTGTATGTGGCATGTAGTTAAGGTCAAGTTTCATTGTATTTAATAGGACTATTTAATTGTTCTGATATTATTTATTGAAAATATCCTTTTCACATTGAATTGTCTTGGCAGCTTTGTCAAAGATCAAGTGACCACATGTATATGGATCCATTTCTGGACTTTTCTGTTTCACTGATCTCTTTGCCTACCTTTATACCAATATTACACTATTTTGATGACTGTTACACTATAATAAAACTTGAAATCAGATAGTGTAATTTTTCCAACTGTGTTCTTTACAAGATTTTTTCATCTATTCTAGGTCTTTTGCATTCCATATAAATTTTAGAATTTTGCTTGCCCATTTCTATCAAAAAAGCCTATGGAAATTGTGATTTGGGATCATGTGAATCTGTAGCTGAATTTGGGGGAGAATTGACATCTTAACAAAACTGAATCTTCTAACCCAAGGACATGATATACATCTCCATTTACTTAGGTCTTCCTTAATTTCTCTGAGCAAAGTGTTTTAATTTTCAGTGTATAGTTCTTGCAAAATTTCCCCTAAGCATCTCAGATTTTTGATGCTATCTTAAATGGCATTTAAAATTTTAATTTTTAAGTAATTCCAGGATATGGGAATATAATAATGATTTTTGTGTTTTGATCTTATATCCTACGACGCTGCTGACCTCACTTTGCTGTGCTCTCTCTCTTCCTTTTTTTATGACTCCGTAGATTTTCTACGTGGGCAATCCTGTTGTCTGCGAATAGTAACATTTTAATTTCATTTCCAAACTGGATGCCTTTTATTTCTTTATCTTGTTTTATTACTGGCTAAAACTATCAGTAGAATGTTGAATGAAAGTAGTGAGAGTAGAAATAACCTGGCTTGTACCCAATATGCGGAGAAAGCATTCAGTCTTTGACCATTAAGTATGAAGTTTGCTGTAGTTTTTTGTCCATGCTCTTTATTAGATTGAAGAATTTATCTCCTATTGCTAACTTGCAGAGAGGGTTTTCTTTCTTTCTTTTTTTAAACTGGGAATGGATGCTAAAATTTTCATATACCTCTTTTGCATCTATTGAGTTGATTGTATTGTTGATTTTTTTTTTTTTTTTTTTTGGTCTGTTGATTGCTGAATTATATCAATCAACTTTTGGATCTTAAACCAGTCCCTTCTTGGTATAATGCCTAGTCAGTGGTGAAATATTAGCATTTTTATATATTGTTAGATTTGATTTGCTAAAATTTTAAGGATTTCTCTATCTGTATTCTTGAGGAATATTGGTCTATATTTTTCTTTCCTTGTAATGTCTTTGTCTGGTTTTGGTATCAGAGTAATGCTGGCCTCATAGAATGAGTTAGGAAGTATTCTACTTCTTCAATTATCTGAAAGAGTTTATGTAAAATTGTTTTTTATTTCTCTCTTAAAGTTTTGTAGAATTCACCAGTAAAGCCATCTGGACCCAGAGCTGTCTTTATAGGAAGTTTTAATTAAAAATTCAATTCCAGGGCGCTTCAGTGGCTCAGTCGTTAAGTGTCTGCCTTCGGCTCAGGTCATGACCTGGGATCAAGCCCCGCATCGGGCTCCCTGCTCAGCCAGGAGCCTGATTCTCCCTCTCCCACTCCCCCTGCTTATATTCCCTCTCTCGCTGTCTCTGTCAAATAAATAAAATCTTTAAAAAAATAAAAATTCAATTTCTTTAATAGATACAGGGCTATTTAAATTATAGATCTCTTGTTGGTTGAACTTGTTAGTTTGTATCTTTTAAATAATTTATCTATTTCATTTGATTTGTCTAATTTATTGGCACAAAGTTATTTGCCATATTATTTTATTATTCTTTTAATATCTACAGAATATGTAGTGATATCATCACCTCATTCTGATATTGGAAAATTGTCTCTTTTTTCCAAATCAGTCTGGCTAGAGGTTATTAATTTTATTGATATTCTCAAAGAACCAGCTTTTGATTTCATAGGTTTTTCTCTATTTTTTGTTTTGTATTTCAGTGTTCAGATCTTTATTATTTCCTTCATTCTTCTTATGTTGTATTTAATTTGTTGTTCTTGTTCCATTTTTATTAAGTGGAAGCTGCGGCAATTAATTTAGAAATTTTTGCTTTGTTAACATGGACATTTGGTGCAATAAATTTATCTCTTAGTGTCATGTTAGCTGTGTTCCACAAAGTTTGATATATTGTGTTTTCATCTTCATTCAGTTCAAAAATACTTTCTAATTTCCTTTTACATTTCTTCTGTGACTCATGGGTTATTTAGAAGTGTGTTATGTAGTTTTCAAATATATGGGGATTTCCCACGTCTTTCTGATTATTGATTGCTAACTTAATTTCATAGTGACCAGAGAACATTTGACTGGAATACTTTTAAATTTATTGGGATTTTGTCTCTCAGTACTTTAAAGATATTTTTTTACTGTGTTTTGGATTGCATTGCTCTTCTTTGTTCCCTTAAATGTATCTTTTTTTCTTCGGATGCTTTAAAGATTTTCTTTTCCACTAGTTTTAAGCAATTTGATTATTACATTACGTGTAGTTTTGTTTGTTTTTCTTTTTCCTGGGATTTATTAATCTTCTTGGATCTGAGGATTTAGACTTGTCATCAAATTTGGAAAAACAATTGGCAATTATTTCTTCAAATATTTTTTCTCTTTCTAATTCAGTGTTTAATTCAGTTTAACTTTATAAAAAAACATGGCGATAGGGAATAATGATAACCAGCTATATTCAGTAGTATTCATTCTACAGAGAAATCATGATCGAGAAATCACAGGATGCTTTGGCATCCTGTTTGACATTCTGAAAAGTACACGTAGAGTAGTAATACTTTGAGTAGTTTAACTCATACTTACATTGAATCTTTTCCCGGTCAACCTTAGTGTGTACTGCAAAGATGAGCTTTATTCCGGTTGATACATAGTTCTGAGCTTGTGTTTTCATGTCATTCATTTTTTTCTCTGTTCTGACAGGAACTCATGCCAAACTTTCCACCAGGCACACGAACTTTGAGGAGAGAGTTTACAACGTCCCAATCCACATCAATGATGGTGGTCGGCCACCTTTGATAGGAATAGTCTCTTTACCGGGTAGGTGTTATCCCACAGGCAACTTGGGATAATGTCTATCACCATGGGTAGTTTGAGAGAATTTTTGTCTTTGATAAGGAATTCTGTAGCTGTTTACTTGAAAATGTATTTTACTGAATACTGCTCTGCTTTTCAGTTACTTTCTGCAAGTGTGTGGAAGGAAGCTGTTTCCGGCCAGCAGGTCACCAGCCTGGAATGCCCACCGTGGGCATGGCAGTTGGTATACTCCTGACCACCCTTTTGGTTATTGGTGAGTATAATTTCTCAGATTCAAGGGTTCCTGCTCTGGGCCTTTGAAACCCTTAGCTCAGGGTCTCTCTTCAGGGCTGGTCTGATAGCTGCTCACTGGCAATCTATGCAATAGCCAGGAACACAAATCAGTAGCAAACTATGAGACTTTCCCAGTTGAGGGCTGCAGCCTTTGTACAACCCTTTACTTATCATTGCCTTGTTGGTTAGTTTGGGAAATATAACACAAGAGGCTTTAAAGCATAAATTGTTATATTTTGGGCCTCGTTACCGAGGTTTTGTGATGAAGGAGAAAGAAATGCAGCAGATGTGCCCCTGCTCTGTGCCAGGCACTGGGCTCGATATGGGGGATACAGTGATGGGCAAGACATACCAGATCCTACATTTACAGAGCTCACAGTCTAGTCTACCGTTGTTGGAACAGGTAGAATCTGCCTTCCAGTGGAGATGCTCACATACCTGAAATGTTGCATATTTTCATGACTGTAGACTCCGATTCTTTATTACCCCAGAACAATTCTAGCTTATCACAGGCCTCACTCTGCCTCGGCCCCTGGCCAAGCTAGTCAGCAGAGTCCCCATTTCTAGCCATCTTCTTTCTTGTGAAAAGCTCAGTGCTTACTGTGGTAATCGTCCTCTTTCAACTGTTTTCCTCACCATAAGTTAAATATTAGAGATAGATCCTTCATCAAGTCATATCCACTTGACTGAAGGGGTTTACACCATTTCACATCCTTTCTCTTTTAAAAGGAGGGCTGGGATTCTTCTAAGCATTCTTCCTTGTTCTCTTGGCATCTGGTCTTCTCAGCCATGACCCAACCGTCACTTTGGACTCTGATTCACAGGTCTAAAAGGGATCTCATTTCCTTATACCATTCCATTCAAATTTCTCATTGTCATGACAGGAAAGGACCTTTGTGATGTAGCCACAATCCATCCTGACATGTACGTGGGGGTCATCTTTTATCCCCGACCACAGGCTGGTACACACCTTTCATACTAATTGAGCTGGCTTTTTGAGTTTTCACTCACTCACTAAGCTCCCTTCTGCCTTCTAGGCCTTTTCTTACTCTGTCTGCCCTCCCATCTTAAAAGGATTTTTGAGCTTATGCACCAAATAGTTTTCTCCCATGACAATTTAATCCCATAATTTTTGCCACGCATTAAAGATTGGATGAGTTTGGGGATATCTAAAGATAGAAGTAATAGTATCTTACAGTTTCATATCCTTACTTTTTTCAAAATAGGGTTGGGATACGTGTAAGATTCTTTTTTTTTATTTTTTAAAAGATTTTATTTGTTCATTTGAGAGAGAAAGCAAGAGAGAGACAGAGAGAGAGAGAGCACAAACATGGGGAGGGGCAGAAGGAGACTCCCTGCTGAGTGGGGCTTGATCCCAAGACCTGGAGATCATGACCTGAGCCAAAGACAGATGCTTAACCGACTGAGCCACCCAGGCGCCCCTTAGTGCAAGATTCTTAATCAGTCTCAGCATCCAGTCTGTTCTGCCATGATTCCTCCTGTAAATTTACTGCCAGGTTAATTTCCTTCAAACAACTCGCCTTTTCCATATTGGTGTCTGGTTTATAGTACACGGTTAGTGCTAAAATGCACAATGTAATTTTGTAGGAGTTCAGAGATAAGAGAAACCAGAAAGGTTAGGGAGCCTACTAGAGCTGGAGCCATGAGGAAAGCACCAAAGAAAATGTGGTATCTGGTGTGGACACTCCTAAGCTTTAGGTAGGTGAACAGGTCAGAGAACAGCTTTCTGGTTGTTCTGATTGGACTATTTCCTCTAAAGAAGAGGAAGGACTGGAATAGACATTTATTGAATATGTCCAAAGATCAGGGACTCTATCAGATGCTCATACACTTCATCTTCAGCATGCGTTAGACCCTATATTCCTTGGTAAAGACCCAGTGATAGCCACCAGCTTAGATATGATTTGGGAGTTGATACATACTTACTGACAACAAGATAAATGATAAGCTTACGAATCCAAGTAAGCCAATGCCTAGAATCCCTTATTCACCAGGACAACAAAACTTTGTTGAACCACAAAAAGAAATGAAGTCACATGAGTCATTTTTTCCTATCAGAGTACTACTTTATAAACGAATGTGATAGTACATTTTAAGATTCCATCCCTTTGACCCTGCGTTTTCTCTTTTAGGTATAATTTTAGCAGTTGTGTTTATCCGAATAAAGAAGAATGAAGGCAAAGATAATGTCGGAAGTGCTCAGGCATCTGAAGCCCAACCTCTGAAAAACTGAATTTGAAAAGGAATGCTTGAGTTTATGTACTGAGTGCTATTTCAGTAACACAGCCACTTAATCCCATAATTTTACTTTTTTATCCAGCATGTGCACTATAATTTTTTACAGATATACCCTCTTGCCCTTTAATATTTTATTACTCTGTGATATTTTGTGTGCTATAGACATTAGAGACATTTCCCATTCTCCCATGACACTTTCCCCTCTGCAAAAGCTTTAGCTATTTATCCAAAACAAAAAATGTATGTGTTTTTTCCCTTTAGGGAAAGATGGACTGATGAAATATTCTGTTCATTTTCTCCTTATCAAGATTTATCAGTCATCCACCACAGAACTTCCTGGATTCCATTTATACTTTCTCTAATTCCATCCTGTGTCTCCTTCCTCATGTCTCAGTTGGTATTGCACTAATTTTTAAAACATTCGTTGGAGAAAAGAACAAAGTTAAGTCTCAGGAAAAAAATAAAATGGAAGCCTTGTCCCCTGGTGTGAATAGAAACTATTTTGTGTTATTAGCCTTCTTTAACTCACTGTGGCTCATATTGCTCTTCGTTTAAGATTCTTCCACTTGGATATGGCACAAGTCTACCACAGGCCACACAGGCCCACTTCCATAAATTTTGGTGCAGAAACCAACCACTGACCAGATTTACTTACTACCTACCATCCTTATGTTCTGCACACGTTTTCCTTATGTGTATGTTAATAAAGTTTTGGTTGCTGTATATTTAACTGTGAAAGAAAATAAGAATACATGGAAGAAGTAGTGACAAAAATCAAGAATAAATGTTGACTGTGGTTTTGTTTCTTGGGCTCTTTGGCTCTGCTTCCTGGTTCTTTGCATTTGTTGAGGGAATATCTGGTAAACAATGATTACTTAACCTTGATCAGAATTGTCTCCCATGTAGAGTTAGTCTGTAAGGAGGAGTCTACAATAAAATAAAAGTTCACTGCTTTCAGGACCATAGGTTGGGTTCAAGACAGATATTTTGAATAAGAAAACCTTAGATATTTGAAGAATTTTTAGGTCTGGAACTATTATTGTCTGGCTCATGCTTTGAACCTTGAAAACATTCAACATTACAAAGCCTCTCAGAGTTTTCAAGAGTTTTCTGGAAAAGAACTTGTATCCAAAAAGGTGCTCTTACAATGGTAGCTGAAGCAGGCCATGAAGTTCTATTTTTCATAAATAATCCTTTTTGTGGACTTATATTTTTTAATAGGCAAAAAATTAAAGCAAAAGAAAATATCCAAACTCTAAGACCTCAGTATTGCTTTCTTGTGTAATATCTTGTGCTTCAGACTCTTTTACCTGTTTTTTCACATGAGGCTCATTGAAAATCTCATAATGGGTAAGGTTCCCCCTTGTCTCACTGTACATTAAAAGACAAAATAAAAAAAAATCCCCCCCAAAAAACCCAAAAATCCAAGAGCACCAAAAACAAATTTACTTCACAAGTTATACCCCAACCCAAAGAATAGTCTAAATTTCTCAGTAAATTCAATAGGTATTTTACTTGTGTGTTCTTGTTTTTAAAGATTTATTTTATTTTATTTATTTATTTAAAAGATTTTATTTATTTATTTATTTATTTATTTGAGAGAGAGAGAGAGAGAGCGAGAACACAAACAGAGGGGAGGAACAGAAGGAGGGGGAGAAGCAGACACCCTGCTGAGCAGGGAGCCCGATGTGGGGCTTGATCCCAGGACCCCGAGATCATGACCTGAGCCGAAGGCAGACACCCAACTGACTGAGCCACCCAGGTGCCCCAAGATTTTTTTATTTGAGAGAGAGAAAGAGAGTGAACATACGGGCAAGCAGGAGAGGGGTATGGGGAGAGGGAGAGAGAGAAAATCCCAAGCAGACTCCCTGCTGAGCATGGAACTTGACACGGGGCTCGATCTTAGGACCCTGAGATCATGACCTGAGCCAAAACCAAGAGTTGGACACCCAACTGACTGAGCCACTCCAGTGCCCCTACTTGTGTGTTTTTGACCAAGAGTGGCTATGATGTGACATTTATGTCACGGAAAAATGCAGCATTGCATTATTTTCAAGAAATACTATTATCATTATTGAAAAGACCAAAGTAGTCCAAGGCAAGTCTGCTGAGGTAGGTTCTGGGGTCTACCCTTCTTCAATTCAGTGTTATTCTCTCTGGACCAATTTGTACCACCTAATAAAAGGTTGATCACACAGAACCTTCTCATCTAAAATCTTTGGGGTGATTAGTATTCATATTTTTCTTGCTCTTTTTTTTTTTTTAACCCAGGCTGGGCCCTTTCTCTCAATCATCTCTTCCTTCCACAACCAGATCCTACCCATTCTTAAGGCCTTAAAGACCAGTTTAAATGCTGGTCCCTTTGGGAAACCTTCTTTGATTTCCTACAGGAGACCAGGTCATTACCTCATCTAAACTTCCATGCTGTGGCGAGAAAAATTGTTTGGCCAGGATCCATTTCCTCTACCAGTTCTAGTACTATTTCCACAGAGAAACATTTCTTCCACCCCTCACCTACCTATATACTTTGGGTATAGCCAACCCCCTGTGTTTCCTCGTTCTTCCAGCTTTAGAGATAGGCACTTTTTCTCACTAAAACTTCTAGAATTCTAGTTGAAACTCTTAAAAATAGCTCTCTTTAAGTGGAATTTGCTAAACTAGTAGGAAGTAAACTTAGAGCATTCTGATCACCACAAAAGGTGAGCCTGCCCCTGAACGAGGACCATGTAGAGTCAAGAGATAAGAAGAGAAAATTCAAAAGATGTTGAATATCAAGATCCAGCTGTGTTTGAAGGCAACCTTGCCCTGGCCTTTTCTATCTTGTGAGCCAGTACATTCCTTTTTTGCTTAAAGCTCAATGGATTTCTGGTCCTTGCAACAAAAAGAATGGTATTTGAACCTTTCATATGGTCCCTCTCATGTTCTACAATTAGAGCTCTTTTGATCTCTGCAACTAGTCTGGGACTTCTCAGAATCTTTTCAATGCCACTATGACAAGTCTTGGCTCATAGTGTTTCCTCCATAGTTTTTTGAAGAATGTGTAAGTGAAATAGTTGACTCATTTTGGCCACTTATGCTATTGTCACTTAAGTGCCACCCATTTGACAAAATTGGAATGAATTCATTCTTTGGGTTCACCTACTGTATCCTCAAAGACACCTTAAACTCCCACTTCACCACCCTACTTCCTCCTACATACAAACCCTGATGCTCCATGCAAATGCCCTCAGAGCTGACTGGTCTGTGAATTAAAAAGCCCCTGAGGGGCGCCTGGGTGGCTCAGTCATTAAGCGTCTGCCTTCGGCTCAGGTCATGATTCCAGGGTCCTGGGATGGAGCCCCTCATCCTGTTCCCTGCTCCGCGGGAAGCCTGCTTCTCCCTCTCCCACTCCCCCTGCTTGTGTTCCCTCTCTCGCTGTGTCTCTCTCTGTCAAATAAATAAATAAAACCTTAAAAAAATCCCCTGAGGACTTCTGCATGGTTAAGAAATAGCTGTGAGACTGAGGGTCTCAATGGTGGAGGGGGGAGAAATAGGCAGCAACTTTTGTGAGCAGCTCTATAGAATGTCTCAGAGGTTTCTGGGGAGCAGTAAATTAAGAGTGGAGATCTCCAGGTGTTGCTCCACAGTCTAAACAACCCACAGTCAGGAAGCTGAGATGACCTCTGATGTATCTAATGTAAGAAGGAACCGATTAACTTCCAGGATTCTGTGTCATGCTATATGCATCATGGAAGCTTGTTAAACTTGGAACCTTAAAAGTTATCCAAAAAGATACAATATCTTACAATTCAACTTTTAAAAAATCAGTTGAACCTTTCTTAAGTATACAGTTCATTTGCATTAAATAAATCCACATGGTTGTGTAACCATCACCAACATCCATCTCCAGAACATTTTCATCTTCCCAAATGAAACTCTACCCATGAAACAATCACTCCCCAATCCCCTCCTCCCCTGAGCCTCTGGTAACCACTATTCTAACTTTCTGTCTCTGAGTTTGATTATTCTAGGGATCTCATATAAATGGAATCCTACCATGTTTGTCCATAATATTAATGTTTTAAAATAGTAACAGGAAAAAAAAAAGAAAATAGAATTCAAACCTCAAAGTTATCTCAGGAGGAGACTATCTCAAGACTAATGTTATTTTTGATTTTGCCTGTATCCATATGTGTCACACATGTATACATTTAAATATACATTTTAGACACATGTGAAGATATCCATACAGTGGATATGTTTGTTCCCTAAACACCACATGCACTGGCATTGCTCCTAAATTTCTCCTCACAAAAGCCCGTCTCATTCTGGCTGAGTCCCAAGAAGTGTGGTCAGCTGTTGGATCACCAGCTGTCTACTACAGGGGTTCTCAGTGGATGCATGTTAAAATTACCTGGGGCAGTTTTTCAAAAGTGCTCATTCTGTGGTTAAAATTAACAAGTCAGGAAATGACAGATGTTGGCGAGGATGCAGAGAAAGGGGAACCCTCCTACACTGTTGGTGGGAATGCAAGCTGGTGCAGCCACTCTGGAGAACAGTATGGAGGTTCCTCAAGAAGTTAAAAATAGAACTAACCTATGATCCAACAGTTGCACTACTAGGTATTTATCCAAAAGATACAAACATAGTGATTCGAAGAGGTACCTGCACCCTGATGTTTATAGCAGTAAAGTCCACAAGAGTCAAACTATGGAAGGAGCCTAGATGTCCATCGACAGATGAATGGATAAAGAAGATGTGGTATATATATACAACGGAATATTATGCAGCCATCAAAAAATGAAATCTTGCCATTTGCAATGACGTGGAAGGAACTAGAGGGTATTATGCTAAGCGAAAAAGTCAATCAGAGAAAGACAATTACCATGTGATTTCACTCACATGTGGAATTTAAGAAAAAAACAGAGGATCATAGAGGAAAGGAGGGAAAAATAAGATGAAATCAGAGAGGGACACAAACCATAAGAGACCTTTAACTATAGGAAACAAACTGAGGGTTGCTGTAGGGGAGGTGGATGGAGAGATGGGGTAACTGGGTGATGGGCATTAAGGAGGGCACGTGATGTAATGAGCACTGGGTCTTATATGCAACTGATGAATCACTGAACTACCTC